GCAAGAAAATCTTGATAAAATCTACATACCCCTTGACAACCACATATTTTGCATCCTTGATGTCATTTAAATGCTAGTTGCACCGAATTATAAAATATGGTTGGATAAGAAATATTAAACTGTATTCATATACATTACTTTAATTGGTTAATTTCCATGCTTAGGTTCTCCATATTTTTCAAGGTTGAATATATATATATATATATATGACGCGCGCGCACATATACACACTATTTGTATACATATTCGCAGGTATCGACTTATTAGTCAAATTGCATACACATTGGGATGATCTGGTACCAATTAGTGCATTATTTCAGCTTTATTATATATTTCAGCTAGCACGTACAATTACATATTTGAACGTGCATGACTTGCGTGGTTGCTTGCGTTGCATTAGTAATTATATATTACTAAGATTCTGGCTAATAGTTTAATCTACTACCCCATTGGTTGAACCTCAAAAATCGATTTGTTAAGACTTAATTGTGTGTCTAATAAATTAGTATCTAGATTATGTTTGTGATCACATGACTGTTTTTTTATTAATGAATTTCTGTTCATCTTTTGACTTGCATCCTTTGCTATTGTACGAACGAAACCTAGTTTAATGGGAAATTGGCATTTAGTCGCTCTTGATTAAGAGACAAGGACGTAGCTTCATGTGAATCCTTTAGTATTAAACTGCTGGCCATTATTTAGGTTATTGACACTAAGATTTGTTAATTCTTAGACACGACAAAGAAAAAAGGATCATCACTAATGAAATTGTCGATTAGCTAGTATATCCAATAGCCAAAATTTAAAGTAATAGTTAAGGGATTCAAGAAACGCATAATTAATTTAGCTTGAAGTACTACGAATTGATTAAACTACATGGGGACAAGATAACTAATTTTAGTTTGAGTGTAGGACAAACTAACGTCTATGATTAAATTAAAACAACTTATAATTATTGTCTTTAATTAAATCGTGAATCAGGTATATATGCATGTATGAGTAGTAATTATAAGACCTCTGTTATATATAACAATGCTTTATATTAAATAGATGTGATTGACGTTTATGAGGGTACAGAAGATTCAATATTAATATTAATATTGAAATTCAATATGAAATTTAAAATCAATTGGATTACAGGGTGCACGAAATAATATTGCGACTAAAACAAGATGATTAACAAGTAAAAATACAAAAAACGACAATCGTCATCCTGTACGCGCTATATGTGTGTGTATGTGTGAAAATAATTTTTCTCCAAGAAAATTAACAAAATTTCAGTAGGTGATGAAGGTTCCATAGAAACCCAATATGGAAAGCGAACAATAATATTGGCCATCTTAGAAAGTTGTTTTGCCATTTTGAGGCTATAACAAGCCGTGCCTAAACAAACAATTGAAGGGCGGCAAAATCAAGAGCAAATATTTACAAGTAATTAATATGATACATTAACACTTAGTAGCACACTAAAGGGCAACGGTTAATAGATGAAGAAGAAAAACTGTAATACAATTAGCATAAACCTTGCATGCATCTAATTTTGTATAAATTGATTTAGCTAATATTAAAGTTATATTATTATTTAATTCATATTAGCTTTGTCTGATTGCTGCAGTAATATTACTAGCTCCTAACATTATATATCTTAATCAAACTAATTTACTAATTAAATTCATGCTAGCTTTTCTGATTATGTCATTATGTATATATATACTCCAACATATTGCCGCTACTTCAAATAGTAAAGTCAGAAAGAGTGACATCTCTCAGATAAGTGAACAGTGTTTATGCGAATTATATATTATCAAAATTATCACGATCTATTCACTTAATAATTATGGTGGTCTTCAATTGGTTACAGATCTAAACATCTAATTAACATCTTTGATTAGTTACGTCAACAATGAGATGCTGAAATAATAATTATTTGCATATATATATATATATACACATATTCGTTAATCATATGAGCAATTAAACTTGAACAAGAGCGTACTATAAATGAATTATCTTCTTTGATACCATATGACGTTCAGGCCCGCCCCGGTATATATACACATTGCTCTGCCTTGCTTTTTATTATTGTCGTATATGTGCATTTACATATATGAATATAATATATATCCAACTTGCCAACTTGCTTATCCAACAACTAGGAGATGATGAATGATGATCATGACGAGAGGAGCTTTCAGTATACAATGGCAATCCCAATGAAAGGAGAACGGGAACCAGAGATTATCATTATAAATAGGTTTATTATCAATGGTGTTCCCGAATTTTAGAGCCATTTTTAATTTTTCTTTTAAATTTTAAAAACTCACTTTATCTTCTGAACTTTAAATTTTTTTCATTTAAACCTTTTTGTAAGAATTTCTATTAAAATTAGAAGGAATAATAATAAGGGGTTAAGCACAGTCATGTAATTTTTATCTATTTCTTTTTAACATAAATCTAAATAGAAAGGTCATATTATTGCGTTATTCTTCCTTTTTCTATCTATTTTTAACAGAAATTACAACATAAGGGGTTAAGTGAGAATAATTAAAAATTTAAGGAGTAAAGTAAGAGTTTTTAAAGTCCAGAGAGTAAATTGAAAATAACTCTAAAGTTTAAGGACCACGAATTATAATAATCCTTATAAATAATGTAAAGATATGTATGTATATATTAATATATATATATATGTATTTATATAGAATTTTTTTCTGATGAAAGAAATGGCTTAATAAAGTTTTTTTTAAGCTATATGTATAATATATATGTACACACGCGCTTATATAATTATAATATGTCGTTTTCCTTTTCCTCGCCCTCGCGGTTTTCTTTTTTGCGCCTGCTTTTTCCGTTTTTGTTTGAATTCAAACATATATATATATATATAGAATATCGCCCTACTGCCCACTACTATGAATATTGGTGGTAGCTTTTGAGCTGTCTCCCCAAGTTGTGCGATATAGGGACCAACAGAAAGTTAGAAGAAGATAATATTTAAGTTAGTTACTTCGCAATCACACCTTCTACATGTATAGTATACGTGTGTGTATACACAAAATATTACAGAGGAAGCAAGCTTAGAATCCTATGTCGTGATATTTATAGAAGAAGAAACAAATTATTTTAAGGCTAATATAATATTAATTATTAATTACCAGAACTTTTCTTTTGAATTTAGATATATACAATCTTATTACGAGTAAAGAGTTTCCATAGGTATTCGATCAAGCGCATGCAGGGCGGTAAATTAGATGCGTGCATGCATGGAGTGTAGTGTAATAATATTAATATTTTACTCCTTGACCGATTGAATATTATTTTAGCAATTAATGAACCCTAATAACTATAAACAAATATTACCTTTGAGAAGGGTGTAACCATTTTACCTAGGTGAACATGTGAGATTCATAAATGAAGACAATAAATTATCAAAACTCCTACATAACTTTGCATTTATTTATTTTTCTTTTGCAATTCTCCAATTGTTAATTAATCATCTCCATTATCAATTTTATTGGAAATCGTACCCGGTGAATTAAAATTTTTTTTTTCCTTAGTTAATATCTTTTGTATTATGTTTCATACCAATGAAGAGCCAAATTACCGATCATTAGCCGGTCCCTATTGGATAATTTATATTAGTTTGTGGGTAACCTGGATGAGCGGATTCCTGTACACAATAATGTAAACATACCCTTCATCAAAACGAGGATCTTCTCGTTCAAGTAATTTCATTTTTTGTCACTATGCCGACCTCGAAATCTATTATTAAATTCATTAGTGTTTCGAATAATATTTTAATGAAAATTACCTTTAACTCTTTTTCTTTTCTTTTTTTGTCCAGGAACAAAGAGACGCGAACTTTTGGACGCTTCCTTTTTTCCTTTTTCTTTTTTCTTTTCTTTGACAACACTCAACAAAAATAAATGGCTTGTTCTAGGCTTCGTATACTAGCCATGCAATGTACGAGTCACACACACACACACATATACATCTATATATATATATATATGTGTGTGTGTTTTTGGAAAATATTTGATGAGTGGTGGATTTCCTTTTATTACCAAAAAGGCTATTCTGGTCATGTTCGTCAACATATGCCTAAGAGATGATATATACTAGCTACCAAATAATATAAGTATAAAACGGCTCACATCTTATAAGTTTAAATTTTTGTCATGGATTGGTAAATTAACATAGTATTAGAGCGGGAGATCCTAAGTTTAAACTCCCGTAATTGCATTATTTATTCTCATTTAAATTGTCATCATGTATTGGGTCTTTAATATATTTCGGGCTTAAATATTTACGTGTTGGGCTTTCTAATTAATTTATCCACACATACTATTATTGACTCACATCTTATAAACTTAAGTTTTTAGAATGAATTGGTAAACTAACGTAGTCTCTCGTTATTTCCTTTAATTTTATGGCAATTGTAATTTGCTATAGGATTCTTCGTATAAATAAAAATGAGATAGCTAACTACCCATTCCACGATCAAAATATGAAGAGTTGCCTTTGAAGGTCATATTTATTTTTGGTTTGGATCCTTTAGAAGTCGTACATTAACATATGTTAAAGTAGGATCAGTTCTTTGTGTAAATTAGATCGAGAAAAACAAAAAACAAAACTTTTTATGCGAGAGGCAGATCATAAATAAATGCTTAACATATTGCATTTGTACACATGTATATGTCTACAGATAAAGATATTAAAAATAAAATAAATGTCAAAACCAACCATTTTTATCTTCTATTAAAAGCTTTCTGCAGGCACTTAACGTTAATTACTATGATGACTAGGAAAAAGACGTACTTAATTAACCAATGTTTTATCTCAGATTCTCATGTGCAAAAGATCATATGCAATCAACAATGTTAATTAAACGACAGTAATTGCTAGGCGGACAATTTTACAAATTAAAAAGAAAAAAACAAATTGATCAAGAAACACCAAACAAAAACTAGCTAGTTAAATATACAGGAAACAACAATCTTTTTTTTTTTTTTTTTTTGACATCTATCTAAAAAAATCATGCATAAAAATCCTGCAACAGTCACGAAGAAGCTATGGGGTTGTGTATATTTTCATGAAAATATTACATTTATAAATCAATTTTGTCCAATTAACTTTACTTGCGAAGTCTCGAAACTGAGACCTTCCACACCTTAGCCTCCCCATCCAAGCCCCCACTAAACACCGTTACGACGCCGTTTGAATCACCATCCCTTACCGCTGCCAACGATTTGACCGGCTTCGCGTGACCCTCCAAAACAGCCAAACAACAGTACCCCCCTTCTTGCCCACGTCGCCAGATCCTAACCGTCCGATCAGCTGACCCACTCAACAACAAATCAGAGACGTTGAATAAAGAGAGTATGGCTTTTCCGTGCCCCCTCAACGCGCCGGTCACCGCCATGTGGTTCGCACTGTCCTCTCTCTCCCAAACCAAAATCGAACGGTCACAAGAACCCGAAAACAGCACCGATCCGTCGTCGTTTAGGGCCAGAGCATTAACCGCCGATTTGTGCTTTTCCAGAGTCGCAATAAGCGCGTGACGCTTTTCGCCGGCCGGTTTTGCCCAAACCCGAATCCGCTTATCCGCAGACCCGGTGTAAACGGTTCCGTCGGCGGAAACGGCCACGGCGTTAACGGCGTCCTCGTGAGCTTTAACGGACTCAAGACAACGGAGATCGGAAGCCCTCCATATCTTCAAGCTCTTATCCCAAGAAACCGAATAGATCAAACCGTTATTAACGGCGAGGCCGGTGACGGCGTCGGCGTGCTCGATCCAGAGCCGTTTCTTGTGACGGCGGACGTTGACGTAGTTCTTGGGGAGAGCGAAACGGCCCAAACGGTCTTTGACGGTGGGGAGACTAGTCAAAAGCTTGTGACGTTTTCCTGACGTCATTTGCCATACTCGGATTCTGCAGTCCTGGTGGGCGGTGAACACTTTGCCGTCGCAGAAGGCGACGGCCTTGACGAAGCCCGTGGAGCAATCTCGGCCGTTGAAGGCGTCGAGATGGGACGAGGACGAGTACGAGGACGAGGGCGAGCTCTCTGATCTCTCAGCTCGATCGTAGACGTTGATTTCGTGGGCGGAGGCAGCGTAGAGGAGGCAACCGTGGACGGCGAGGCAGGTGATCGGGAGATTCGACGGCTGACGCGGGCTGAGGGAGGCGAGGGAGAGGTGAGAGACGGCGAGGTTTAGGTCTAGAGAGAGGTCCTGGAGAGAAGGTACGGAGGGGAGAGTTTGGAGAGAGAGGTTGCTGTGGAGGCTGGGACTGCATGTGTTACTGCTGGAGTTCGACGAGTACGAGGTCGGAGTTGTGTCGGATTCGGAAGACGGAAGAGTTTCGATGGCGGCCGTGGCGGTGGCGCATGTGGAGGAGGAGCAGGTTGAGAACCAGGATTGAACCTTCATGCCGGCGGCTAAGAGAGAGAAGCTGTAGTGGAAATGTGTGGGGAGGTTTTTATTATATATAGGATATTTTGGAGAGTGGAAGTGCCACGTGGAGAGTGGATGAGAGAGGGAGAAAAACGACAGTGTTAAAAGGACCCTTTTCCCTCTCCTCTTGCGCAAGTTGGCTGATGGTTGGCGACGCCGCGGACGCGGAGTGAAACAGAGCTAGCTAGCTTTTGGCTATCTACAATTCAATTCCAGCACTTTTTTTTCTCTTCTTTTTCTTTTTTCGTTGGCACATTTTTTTTCTTTTTCTTTTTCTTTTTCGAAAAGAAACCTTTTAGATCATATGAAAAGAAAAATGCTAATGATCATCACTAGCTTATTTGTTTTTCTACCCGTTAAAAATATGCTGTAAAAATCTATATAAGGCCTTATTAGTAATTGGATCAATAATTAGGTGTGTAGGGTTGATCAGAAACTCGAAAATTGAACGCTTCACCGATGGAACTAATCGAAACCGTCTAAACGAGTTGGTGCCACGTCATTACTGATAAATCTTGATCGGTTTATGAAACCTCTCATTATTGGGCAGGTCATTTATCAACTCTGTCATTTTAATAATTCCAACCCCTTAAAATTTTTGTGTGGTTTAATTATAAAAATTGACTCATGTATTTTTTATGTGCGTCCCTTTAAATATCTCTCCATTAATATTATGTCACATTAATTAAAATGTTATATAATTTAAAATTTGATGAGACGTTAATTAAAAAGTCATGATAGTTAACGGGGGTGTGATGATCTCATTTAGAATACATAAAAAAAAAAAAAAAAAAAAAAAAAAGGAGACGAATAAAGGATATATATGAGCTCAAGTTTATTTTATATGCTATAACGTGTGTGTGTGTATATAGAGGGAGAATTGTGGGGAGTAACGATGCGTGTGTTTCATTATAAGATGATGCAATCTTTTTGGACTTTTACTTTTAAGGTTATTCTCCCTTCCGTGTGGTCAGTATAATGCATTGTTAGCTAATCACGTGTAGAAAAGATTGTATATATATATGTGCGCGCGCGAATTATAGGAGTTCAAAGAAGTGATCTATTCATAATTGTGTGATAACTTTTAAAATTCGTGAGTTGCTTTGTATTCAGAGTTAGGTGATTAACTCTGAAAAGCTTTTAAGAAAAACTCTGCAATTTTCTAACTTCATGATGAAGAGAAAAGTTGGTCAATGTAAGTGATTTGCCCGAACCAACCACGTAAAACTTATGGGTGCGTTTAAAATTATTTTTGAAAACGTTTCTGCACGTCTTTTGAAACACAAAAATTAAAATCACCTAGAAATCGCATTTATTTAATAAAAGTTTTGAAAATTGTTAGGACTTTAGTTGGCAATTTATTGGCATTAGTTGTAAAAATTCACAAATAAATATTTTTGGCAACTAGCATTTATGGAGAAGATCATATGTGTTTTTGGTTGCTTGATTGCTTCAAATATGGAATGTTTTTTTCTTGATAAAAATCAATTTTTGGAAGGAAGTATCCTAGAAGATTGGGGATTAATAGAAGGAAGCAAGTATCCTAGAAGATTTTGTAAGAAATGGAAAGTTATTGCATATATATCTGGAAACTGGATATAGTTTCTGTTTTTGAAAGTCAACTATTGATCCAAATATGATAAATTGATAATTGGTGATTTGATTGATATTTGATTGAGTTTCCGCAGCTGGATGATCTTTCTCTGTTTCCTAGGAATGTGTCCATATTCGTATATCAGTTTCGGAAAGATTTCAGGATTTAAGAAAATTGATTTTCATACTAGTTTTGGGATAGCTGACTCTGACAATTGTGTTAATGTTCTTGTTGCAACGAGGATCTGCAACAGATTTGGTTCAGCGAATTAATTGAAGAGGTTGTCAAGCTATTCACACTTCGCTTATTTATTCAAAGTGGCCCTTAAGTCTTTGGACACCGAGTGATTAGTTTTTTTAGGTTGTGAGACAGGTGTGAGCACTTGTATTCAGAGAGATGATTTAAGTATTTTTCGGGAGAAAAACTTAGTTGGAGGGATTTCAATGTTAAAAAGTCGAGGGGTTCTCATTGTTCAAGTCCATTGAGAAATTATAAGTTCATATGCATCTTCTTAGAGAGGGAGTCTCGGGTAGATTAAGTCCAATTGAATTGTAAAATAGTTCTTAATGGATTGTTCATCATCTGGGTGTATCCTCGCGGAGTAGGTTGTGACCGAACAACGATATTATTTCTCTCGTGTTCTTTTATTTTACGTCTTTGCATTATTTATATTGTCTTACAAAGTATTAAAAGACTCAAACCAATACCAACAAAAATGAAAACGAAAATAAAAAACAATGAGAATTATTTTTGTGAAGAAAGTAGAAAACGATTGAAAGTTATTTTTCTTTTTTCATTTTCATTTTCTAGTAGTTATCAACAAAGTTATATTAAATAATTAATTATTAATTACTAATTATATTATATATTAATTAATAATTAATAAATAGATATACTTAATAACTAATAAATAGATAGTAATTACTTAATTATTATGTTAATTATAATATATTAATTAGTAAATAGTTGGTAAATAAAAAATAAATAGTAATTACTCAATTAATAATTAATATTAAATTATAATTATCAATATGTAATATACTAATCAATAATAATTAATAATTGATCATTAGTAATTAATCATTATAAAATGAATAATTACTAAAAATTAATCATGTGATATATCAAATAATAGATTATTAAATAAACATTAGCAATTAATTAACTAACTATTTAATTATGTAACTAAAAGATAATAATTTAAGTAGTAAACGGAATATTAATAAATTATGTATATAATAATTATTTTTCTTAATACACTAATTAATTACTTATAATCTAATAAATATGATTACATTACTGACATAGTAATTACTTATAATCAATTATTAATTACTATTTTTTAATTATTTAGCATATTAATTTATTATATATAGTTTAATTACTAATATACTCATTAATGATAAATTGTCTATTATTATTATATTATTAATATATTAATTCTTATTTGCTAAATAATTATTAATTACTTAATATATTAATTTAAGATTATTAATTAGATGTACTCAAAACAAACATAAATGTAACCAAACATGATTTCACTTTTTTACCATACTCAAACCAATCTCTTGAAAGACCACCAAACGTAATTTCAGAATGATTTTTAAAACAATCTCATTTTCATTTTTGTACCGAAAATAAAATTATTTTGAAAACATTATCAAACAGTCTCATATCAAAGAGTCACATTATCAAATTTTATTCTCCGTTTAAATTAAAACTTTAACTACGCATCAAAACATCAATTCAAATTACAATTTAAACTACACAGTTTGAATTTTTTTGTTCAAATTAAAAAGTTTAAACCAACAAAATTCAAACCATCGAACCAAACAAGAGGCTAAGTTTGGCCAACGTTTGGTGTATATATAAGAATAACATCACTTTAGAATGTATATCCTCTTTTCAGTGTATTTATAGAGAGAAATTAAGCTCTTATTAAATAATAGAATTGTACTCTAAAAAAATAATTATAGAAAACGGATGATTATAGAAAACAGATGTAATTTCGGATTAATGAAGTGCGATATTAAGAAAGAAGATTATGGAGACCGTTAGCATACTTGTTTTAAGAACACAAAGACAGTGACGGAGGTCTCTGGCTTTTTTTTTTTTTTTTTCAAAGGGGACATAAACTAAACTAAAAGTTTGAACTAAATTATAATACAACAGTCTTGTACCAACGTATCTATTTTTATCTTTGAATTTAAAAAAAAAAAAATAGACTATGCGATAATAAAGTTTAATTATAGTTTTTGAAGTTTAGAGTTCTAAATTATTGAATATATATAGTAATATAATTGATTTTTGATTTATTAGAGATTTTAAATTTGAAATTAAGTGTTTTTAAAAAATCAAAATTTAGGTATATAATTATTATTTGTTTAACAAAAAAATCATGTAAACGTTGTAAAAGACGAATGGCTGAGATTAGATGAAGCCTCAGCCTAATGATCTATATAAATAGGATGAGATTAGCGAAAGACGAGTATATTTTACTGATTTTTGAACTCACAACTTCTTATCAATTTTGTTCGAAATCTGTCTTTCGTATCAAAGAGTTTTCTTTGCTGTAACCCAAATTCTCGATTTGAGTTATAAGTAAAGAACTAAGTGAACAGTTTGTTGGTTAAATTTTCGCACGCATAATATATATTATACTTGATTCCGTGTGATAATTAGTAGTGATCATTACCAGACAGTAGTTAAAGGGGAATATATAAAGTGATTTAGGTTCGTTGTCTACTCTTTATTTATTATTTTTTAAAAGGAAAAGGTAAAATATTATTAAACTAAGAGTCATCTCGGCACTTACAATATCAGAAATACAATCAGGAAATTCCTCAAACCACCACCAATATTATTCAAAAGCAATGTAATATATGCTAAAATAGGCTCTTTTAACAGCAAGACCAGCTGGCTCATTTACATATTGAACAACGAAAGAGGAATCACATTCAACAGATATCACTCTGAGACCACTTTCTTGAGCAAAAGATTAAGCCTTCACGAACAGCTAAACATTCAGCGGTTAACACACTAAAAGCGCCTGGTAGCTTCTTCGCGAAGGCTCCGAGAACAAAGCCTGATGAGTCTCTGATGAGGCCGCCTACTCCAACTGAATCCGAGTGAGGAAACACGGATGATACCATCCGCACACTCATGCGCTGAACGCATTTCTATCAGCCCAGTTCAGACACAAAAGCACACAGAGCAACTCAAACTCCTCATACTTGAGCCATTTTTCCATGAGAAGAATAAAATAAACAAATTGACCACCTTGAAATTTCCTCACAGTGGCATTATGGTCCATTTAGTTTGCTATTCGAGTTTTTATTTCGAGTTTAAATGTGACTTTATGTTTTAAGTTTTTTACTGTAGTAAAAAAAGTAGATGTAACAGTTTTTAAGAGTTTTTTTACTCTAACAAAACTCGAATCAGTGAAATGAACGGAAATGTACTCTCACTCCAAACTTCAGCCACAGCAGGGCAAGAAATTAAGGCATGGAACACCGATTCCGAACCCTCATTGCAGCGTCCACAGACCTTGGGGCAAGAAATACTTCGGTTGGACAGGTTCTCTATTGAGTGTTGGGGACAGAAAAAGGAAAAGTGAAAGTTGAACTATATGCGTAAGTGAGAAAAGAAATATAACTTAAGGGTTATTTTCTATTTTATACCTTGTTTCTTGAGTTTATCAAGACAAAACGGTATATTTTGGATATTCTCAAGATTATACCTTTAAATTTTAAATTTATATCAATTTCGCACCTTTTCAGGGTAATTAATAGTTGATTTTTACCTTTAAATTGATTAATTGGACCATTGCAACAAAATACTAATAGATGATCTTGTAATAATGAACGAATCACATGTTTAAGGAAATGAAGAAAAAATCTTTAAAAAAAATATTTTCACGATAGGTTGCAAAGGATGATTAAGTCAATTAGTGTTTTATTACAAGTTTATCTATTAGTTACAAAGGGTAAATTCAATAATTCCAAAGTCAAAATCAATTGTCAATCTAGGAAAGATACAAATTTTGTAGAGATTTGAAATTTAGAGGTATAGTTTCGAGAACATCCAGAATAAAAGGAGTTTTTTTTTTTTTTTATAAACTCAAAATACAGGGTATTAAATCGTAAATATCCCATTAATTAACATTGCCTATAGTAGCACATGCACTTACATAAAGATGTACTTTGTTTGCATGAGATGCATGCGCCCTTACGAGAAAGGAAAATGTTTGTGGTAACTTGATCAAGATAACGTATGTATGATTTTGTGAATGTATATTATATATATACAATATTATTGTTAATGGTTTTTCATTTTAAGGGAGAGTTTGTGGATAATGTGAAAACAAAACAAATGAATATTCCTTTTCATATGTTGATAAATTGGTTTACTAAACTAAATCACAATAGGTCTTCTATTATCTATTAATGTAAATGAGCTGTGCAAGTATGCAGTGGCGTCACACATGCAAATTTGGACTTACAATTTAAAGTTCAAATTTCAAAGTCCAGCTTGGGTTATTGATCATATTAGTTCATCTTCTTTATATATATATATATATATATATATATATATATATGCTAATCATTCTTCTAGTATTCTCGAAATTATAATCAATATGCCACTTACTTGCAAATTTGTAGTTTCCTTTTTATGTGAATTGTTATTATCATTATTATTATTATTATTATTATTACTTCTCTTTCGTAGTAAGGCTGACTGATGGAAGCTTCATATATAGTTTCATGAAGACGACCCATAATTATTTTCCAAGTCACTTGCATAAAATCCGTAAATAACAAGGACAACCAGGACCATAATATTAAAATCCTTGTTATATTATCTTCAGTTCATTGAAAGTTTACGCCAAAGTCTCTCTCAATTGACATTATTTTTTTTCTTGAAAAGGAGTTAATTGACATTTCATTAAAATATAGCACCATTGGAATGGAATGACGATTCCTAAAATCCAATCATTCCTATATTTGGTTGGGCAAAAAGACTTAGGAATAGTTATTTGATTCCAAAAACAGATATTAATTAAAATTCTCTCTCCCTAAATTATCCCTCCTAATATTAGAAAATTTATTTTAAATACTATTTTCATCATCCCAATATAAAAATATATTTTTCTATTAACCCTACTACAACTCACTCATCCAAATAAAGGAAAACAAACATTCAACTTCTTCGTGATAATACTACACTCAATTTTTTTCGGGGTCTCCGTGACGAGGAGAATATGATATAATCCTCTAGTTTTTGCTGACGATAATAAATTTGAAGAGACATATTTAAGTATTTGGTTTGTGTTTTACTGTTTACTTGATTTCGTTATGCAGAATACATTTGAGACCTTCTATGTAAGAATATTTATGTTGTTCTATTTTGTCGATGTGATCATGCAGAATACATTTGAGAATTTTTATGTTAGAATGATATTGTTTATATAGTTTATTTTTATTTTATTGTTTGAAATTAGTCATATATCAAAGTTAAAATTATTTGAATATTAGTTATATATCAAATAAAGTATTCACTTTAAACATCGAGGTAAAAAAAATAACTTGGAAAATATTTGAATTTATTTATACATTATTAATAAATAAAATGAAAGGGGTATTTTAGTAAAAAATTATACTATTCCATTCTATTTCACTGACTAACCAATCATAATAATTATTATTTTAATATTGATTCCAATGCTCAACCAAACAATAGAATTTGAATAAATTATTATTCTATTCATATTTTGTTTCATTATATTCCTATTTCTATTTCTATTTCTATTTCATTCCATCAAACCAAACGCACAGTAAATTCTTTATCTCAACACAGTGAATTATATGCAATATAAATGACCTGTTCCCTCCTTCTATCTTGGAAAATTATGTGACTAGGACAAAGGAGACACATCCTATACTTTGAACTTATCTTTATCGCGACCTGATTATGAAAATTAAAATAGCATCTTTATTCCTTTGTCAAGATAAATTCTATCCATAAAATGACAAATTATATGCTAAAAGGAAGAAAAAAACAGGATCAACTGTTTTTGTCCAAACGGCATCTTCTCATAGTAAATCTTTTAAGTTTATATTATATATCCCATAAACTATATAAATATGAATAATGCTGGAACTTTTGTACTAACTTTCGAGTTATCATTCTTTCAGCGATTGGTATATAAATTGCCGTATCAAATAATTACGAGAGGTCATATTTGTAAATGAAAAAAAAAAAAAAAAAAAAAAATTGACAACTCAAAAGTTGATAAAAAAATTGATGTAGTTAGTGTTCCTAACCTTATTTATATGACAATATGTGTACACATATGTACATTAGCTTGTGCCATATGTACATGCAAAAACAAAAGTGAAAGATTTATTGGAATTGTTGTACATTGCATGGCAGCTTAATTTTTAGCTTGTGCCATATGTAATGCTAAAACAAAAACCAAAGATTTGTAGGAATTGTTTTAAGATTCACTAAATGATATTGAATTTGGTTTGCGACATTGATCATAACATTGTACCAGTGTGTACTATATTTATTATATGGATTTGTTTCACGCTAATGGTGAGATGTTCCTGTCATGACTCGTGAACCAGCTCATAGATAGTAGGCTCACGAAAAGTGATGACTTGGAAGAAACTTATATGAAAATTGAAACGACATAGTACATCTGTGTACGACACCTTGAAACCGTTGTTACTTTATTATATCTTATCAATTTGAGACTTCCATTATCTATGGCAACGCGTTTCAAGGGATTGTATATGCTTTGCTTTACTAGAAAGAAAGTAAAAGTGTTTCGCTTGAGTTGAGAACTTGAGTTAAAATGTAAAAATTCATGTGAGAGAAAATATTATAGCAGAAAAAGTTAAATTTGAATTTTTGTAAGAGAAAACACTTAACAAAAACTTGAGTTTTGATTGGAACTAATGAAACGAACATAGCCTTTATTTTTGCACAATTTAATCTCTAATAAAAGAGAGCGGATGTATATTGTTTGTCATGTCATGGTCAAATGTTGTCATAAAAATCTTTTACTTATGACTATATGGGTTGATGAAACTCTTAATATTACTTAAGTATATCTAAATCAGTGAAATCGTTCCATTAATTCATATTAGAAACCACAAGAAACAGTGATGTCTTTCAAACCAAATCCTCATCAGCTTTGTGAGTGATTTTGAAGTTTTACAAGGGAGTAGTAAGCACCATGACGTCCAATAGCAAGTAACTCAGAGTGTGATCCTTGTTCTGAGACCTTCCCATTCTTTATCACAGCTATAGAGTCTGCCTTTTGTATGGTGGACAAACGGTGAGCTACAACCACACATGTTCTTCCAACCATCATCTTCTCCAATGCCTCTTGGACTAGACTTTCCGACGCGCTATCAAGCGCACTTGTCGCCTCGTCCAGGAGAAGGATTTTCGGGTTCTTGAGTATTGCCCTTGCTAGAGCTATCCTCTGCTTCTGCCCTCCTGAGAGTTGTGTTCCTCTCTCTCCGCAATAAGTGTCATATCCATCTTTCATTGAGCTGCGTCATAGTAATGTAAACCTTTTTGTTAGAAACATAAGCTAAAAATTTAGTACTATATTTGCAAAATAGAGAAAAGACAAGCTTAAATACCTTATAAATTCATGAGCATTGGCAAGTTTCGCCGCCTTCCTTAATTCAACTTCTGAAGCATCTTCTTTACCATAAAGAATGTTTTCACGGATTGTGCCTCCAAAAAGTGTAGGCTCTTGACTAACCAAAGCAATTTGTGACCTCAACTGCCTCAAATTATAGTGCTTAATGTCATACTCATCAATCAAGACCGATCCACTTATCGGTTCATAAAATCTTTCAATCAATCCAATGACAGTAGACTTTCCAGATCCACTTTGCCCCACCAGTGCAACTGTGTTTCCAGCTTCTATCTTGAGACTTAGACCCTTGAAAATCATTTGGTCAGGTCTGACTGGATAAGAGAAAACTATATTCTTCAATTCTATTTGTCCCTTGATGGTCTTCTCAACACTTTTCGGGTTTTCAGGCTCGATCTCGGTTTTCCTATCCAGGATTGCAAAAATTGATTTGATGGCACCAACACCTTTGGCAAGATCAGAGGTCGTGCTCCCTGCATCAGCAATGTTTTTTCCAGTGCTCATTAAGATGAAAAATACCTGAAACAAATGTTTTGGAGTCACTAACTGTTTATTTATGAGCCTTCCTCCATACCAGAAAGTTAAAGCTATAGCAGCAGTTGTCAAAAACTGAGACGTAAACAAGCCTAAGCCCGAAAACCATGATTGTTTGATGTTCTCCTTCCTAGTATCTTTCATCGACAGCGCAAAGAGGTCCAATATTCGTTTTTGAGAGGAAAAGGCTGTGATAGTCCTATGGTTTATTGTAGCTTCACTTGCCAGTTGACTGCCTTTACTCTGCGCTTTCTGCACCTTTCTAGACTTAAATTTCATCAAAACACTCCTTGAATAGAAGCTCCCTATAAGCAAAGGCTGAATTGCAATCATTACAATGGCTATCCTCCATGTGATGATTAACCCCAAGAGAAAAGCCAAGAAGGCACTAAAGAAAATCTGAACCAGCAATGACATGCGTTCCGAAACGAGAGATCTAATCATGCTTGCTTCGTTGGCTAGACGTGCGCAGATAGCTGCACTCGAATTCTCATCTTGATCAAACCATGATATCTCAAAGGTGAGAATTTTTCTGAGCATTTTTTCACGCACCCTTTTCGTTAATCGCTCTCCCATAACCGCAAAGTTGTAATGTTGAAGGAGATTTGTAATGAAGCTCAAAACTGTTAAATTTACAAAGATAAAGGAGTAGGTTTTGATTTCTGATTTCAAAGAGGAGCTATCTTTTAGGAAGTAAGCTGAAAGAACAGTTCCCATACAATAGGAGTTAATTGGCTGAATAGCTCCGAATCCAGCAGCCCCTAAACACCCTAGTAGTGCTTGCTTCCACTCAGGTGCATTCATCTTAAACAAATGCCACTGAGATGGAGGAGGAGAAGAATCATTTTGTGGGTTTTTATTGTGAGACTCACTGTATTGGCTCATTTGGAAAGAATTTGCGACACTGATGGAAAATATAAGAGGACTAAATGGGTTGGCTGGGCTATTCTGCCAGCTTGATTTCACATCTACAAGTGATGGTGAATGGAAGGCACTCAATGTTTTCCTGTCTCTCCTACCTTCCATTGGTCGATCAAAACTACTCGAGGCATTGTGGTTTTCCGTGTTTGATTGTTGTAATTCGGCCATTTTTCTATAAGCACCTCCTTGTCCATCGTTTTTCTGAATCAAATCATCATGAGAGCCTAATTCAACCACTCTTCCTGATTGAAGAACCGCTATCAAATCTGCCTTTCGAACCGTGGAAAGGCGATGAGCAATGACAATTGTTGTTCTTCCTTTTGAAGCCTTGTCTAGTGCTTCCTGTACAACCCTTTCAGACTGAGCATCCAAAGCGCTTGTGGCTTCATCTAGCAGAAGGATTTTCGGGTCCCTTATTAAAGCCCTTGCTATAGCAATCCTCTGCTTTTGTCCTCCAGATAACTGAACTCCAAATTGCCCAACCTAAGATAAAGATACAAAGTTTGTTTTAAGTCTTTAAGTTTTGAAATTCATATATATAAGTTTTTTTGTAAGTTCAAAACGGAAAGATCTGTTTCTTACTTGAGTGTCATAACTTTCAGGTAGTTTAGCAATGAAGTCATGTGCATTTGCAGCCTTGGCTGCTCCTATAACAGCCTCCATTGAAGCTCCTTCTTTGCCAAACAAAATATTCTCTTTTATTGAAGTTGCAAAGAGAATTGGTTCTTGATTTACTAATCCCAGTTGGGATCTCAACCATTTCTGATGAAGTTTGTTTAATTTGTAACCATCAAGAAGAATATCTCCTTTAACTGGGTCGTAGAATCTTTCCAGTAAAGAAATGATGGTGGACTTTCCAGAACCACTTCCTCCAACAAGACCAACCGTCTTACCAGCTTTCACTTTAAGATTAAATCCTTGAAGAACTTGGGTGTCAGGCCTTGATGGATAACTGAAGTTGACATCTCTAAATTCTATGTTTCCCCTTACTTCTTTCAGAACTTTTCCCTTTTCATCTTCACTGTCAATGAGGGGAACCCGGTCAATCATCACGAAAATCCGGGTTACTGCGATTATCGCCTCTGAGATGAAAGATAGATTTGGAAGTGCCTGCATTACAGAACTGAAAAATACAAATTTGAAGGAAAGAAAAAAAAAAGTAAGTGTTATAGTCAATGAAATGTACCAAACAAAAAATAACAACAAATTTAGAAATACTCTTGGGATATCTTACTCTATCATAGATATAAAAAGGCATTTCAATGCATTTATAAGAAAGAAGGAACTTACAATCCTCCTAAAATTAGACAGACTCCAGAGATGAAAACATTTCCACCTTTTTCACCTCTTTCAGTTACAATCATGCTACCAACCCAGGCCTGGAAAGCCCAAGAAGCATAAACCATTCCCATGCTTCCAATTAGTATTCCCTTCATGAGACCTTGTTTTATGCCAAGATCTGTACATTTTTTAAGTGCTCTGCTGAATCTTTCGAGTGTTTTATGCTCCCCGGTGTATGAATAAACAGTGCGAATAGACGAAATTGCTTGTTCTGCGATGCCACCGGCGATCCCATAAGCATCCTTTATTTTACCTCCTAAGTCCTTGAGTACCTTACCGAATCCAAGTCCGGGAATAATAACCATAAGAGAGAATGGAAAAGCCGCCACTGCAAGTCGCCAAGAAAGTAGAAACGCAATTGGGAAGCATGCAATAAATGATGAGAGATGAGCCAAGAAATTTGGTATCTACCAGAAAGAAGAAAAAGAGAAGCTATTAGAGTCAGGTAATTATATTGGTAAAAATAAGAAGAAAACTGCGCTTAGAAAAATGCTATAATGCGTTTTTAACTAGTTAGAAATTGACATATAAGACTGTTGAGGGCCTGTATCATGACAGTCGGTGGCAGAGTTTGACATGTGAATTTGTGATTGGTTGAAAATGTACAATGATGAATGCTGATGATCACCAGTCGTGATATATATCATTGCTCTTGCGTTTGCGACGTTATGCTGATGATCACCAGTCGTGATATATATCATTGCTCTTGCGTTTGCGACGTTAAAATTAAGAGACTGAGAACTAGAAGAAACCTTTTCAGCAATGGCGTCTTGGATTAGATTGGCATCAGAAGAGACTGTAGAGACAACTTGGAAGGTATTGGAAGATGCTGATTGATTGTCAAAGAAGGCAACTTCTTGCCTTAGCACTGATCTCAAGTATTCCATTTTAATGCGAGATGTCTGCCTCTCGGCGGTTCTAGTCCAACAAATTGCTTCTGCAAACATGTGATGTGGAGACTCGTAAAATCATTCAAACGTTGTCAAAATTTCCAGCACTTCAATACATTCATAATCATAGACTATTTATGCATATTTTTCATTCTATTCCCAATCAAATGACTGTTTCCAAGAATATTGTTTTAGTAGTACAACAATAAACACGTAGAATTAGTTAGAATGACTTCAAATGACCTTTTTCATTTTCACAGAGAATGGCACTGAGTCGTTCTTTGTAAAAAGCGGTCGTTTCGTAATCATTTTATAAATTAAAATTTTGAGAAGTAATTTTACTGGTAAAACTTTCTTATATTAAGTCATTTTCTGACATACAAAATGAAAAAGGTGAACTTAAAGGGATCAGATAGAACAATATGAAACTTCACCTACCAATAAAAGCGCATATCCCAACTCCAATGGCAACGTAGAGCAGCCTGAGTGAATACTGTGAAGAAAATACACACCAAACTTATTCATCAAAATATACACACATCTAAGGGTGACAATTTGTACCACGTGTCGTGTTTTGATTGTTTATTTTTAAATTTGCAATCAATTTAAATACGACTCGTGACACGAAATTTTTTAAAAACCGCAATACGAACACGATACGACCACTTTACGGGTTACACGACACGACACAAAAATAACATGTGACACGAAATTGACCCATGAATCAGAAATTGACACGAAAATTGTATACTTTTATTTAGTTTTTTACATATTAGAAATAACTTAAAATTAATAACATACTAAATTACAATAACATCCATTGAAATTAAGTAAATAATAGTATAAGATTTTGAGTATAACTATCATGATATCACAAGTTTATAATAAAATTAAAAATATGTAATGAAAAATATATGTATTTTTTAGTTTTTTATGAGTTTCATGTCGTGTTCGGGTTAGGCGGGTCCAACCCGAAATTGACCCATGTTTTTCGTGTCAATTTCAGGTCGACTCAATTCTGACTTGAATTTCTTTTTTCTCAATCTTAACCCGTGAAAATCGTATCATTTTCGAGTCGTGTTGTCGTGTTGTAACTCATATTACCGGCCCTACACACACCATCTTAGTGGCAAGAACTTTCTTTCACTAGATTTCACAAGACCATGGATTAGTGACTCGAACTTTAAATTAAAAAAAATGTGGGAATTTGCAATTACCTTGTCTACTGTATCATTTGAGAGAGAGGATTTAGAAGCTCCATATTCATTGAGCAAACCACTAAAAACCAGCATGGTAAGTGGAGTCATCAACCCATCTCCAATGCTGCCTAAAGTCCCAAACACCATTAACAACTTATCGGCGCCATCGGCATAGCGAAAAATCCCGCCTGTCTTCCCCATGTGTTATTAACAAGCTAATGCTACTTACAACAATAGACAGAATCACCAAACTAACTCCCTTCAAAAATTGTTTCACACAACTCGAATGATCACTTAAATTTTCATCTTAAAATATGCCACTACATTGCAAGTTACGTTTTTTTTTTTTTTTTTTTTAAAGGGACTTACTAGAAGTAGCCTCGTATTTTGTCTGTTCTTCTTGGTATCTGAGATTTGGGTTTTGGAATCAGCCGGCATTTGATGATTTGTCTTTTCTAGTAAGATGTCCCATAAAAACACAAGGAACTGTACGAAGACCAAGTTCTTGACTAGGAAAAATTTCCAAAAGAATACAAAATTGGGTGGGATTCCGTCGACCCAGTCAATCTTGCATGAATTCTCTCCAAAAATAATTTTTTAAAAACAAATGAAAAGATGAAGCCTTAGAATGACTAATCCAGATAACTGAAAATCTTGAAAATGAGATGTTTAATTTGTCTTGAAGATATTATTAACGATCTCTCTTTCTCGCTCAATAGAAAATATTCTGGGGATGTTCGATTTATAGAGGTGATCAATTGTTATATGTTAGGACTTTTAAGACTTTAATTAATGAAATTATTATTAGAGTTTTTACTTTAAATTTTTGGAGTGCAATTCTTGAGATCCATTAGAATGAACGAATTTTGTTTCTATACCTTATCTCCCTTATTTAATGAACGAACCAACGGATTTGTAGATGCCCTAATTTTTAGTGAATCAACGTATTTTAGAAATGTTGTACCCTTTTTTCATTTGATATTTTATTGTAGGCTTCCGTGATACATCTATACTCTCTCTAAAAGAGAATAAAGGCCACTTTAGTAGATGGGTTTAAATTAGCGTTCAAATCATGCTTTTTAATTATAACTTTTAAAATTTAAATTTTTTATGAGAAAAAAATACTGTAATAAAACTAAAATTATATATTTATATTGTAACAGAACTCATATTCCTAACATCACTTCAGTTTCCTAAAACTATATGTTTGCACTGCAGCAGAACCCATATACCCAACATCACTTAAGTTTCTTAGGGGCATTTAGTTGCCCCCTCCACCCCCCTCTCATTTTGTTGCCTTTCAAAAAAAAAAAATTATTTATTTTTTATCTTTTTATTTTCTTTTATTTTTTTAAGTTTTTTTTTCTTCTTTTTCCTCCTTATCTTTTTTTATTGCATCTTTTTAGCCTTTATTATTATTATAATATATATATATTGAAACATAACTCTTTTAAATACTTTTTTTTACGGTCATTAAAAGTATTATTATTTTTTTAATTATCCTGCTAAATTAATCTATAGTACTCTCCTTAAAAGAAGAGAGAATAAGAGCTCGTTTAGTTCGCTGATTCGAGTTTTTAATTCAAGTTGAGATGTGACTTTATGAGATTTTTACTGTAGCAAAACTTAAATTTTAAAACTCAAATCGGTAAAATGAACGGGGCTTAAGTTTCGGAGGGAGGGGGCAGCCTTTTGTTGCCCCCGGTTTCGTTGCCCCTCCATTTTTTTTTTTTTTTTTACTTTTGTAGCTTTTTTTTTCTTTTTTAGCTTTTCTTTTTTAGTTTTTTTTAAGGACATCAAGAATTCGACAAAAAAATAAAACGACACAATCTCGTGAGCATGTCGTAGTGTTTTTTTCTTTTTTAAAAAAAAAAATGTCGTAGTGCAATTTTAACTTGGGGAAAAAATATAAAGGCAAAATGTAAATAAAAATAAGTTGGGCTTTGATGGGTCATTTGTGATGTCCAATTACTTTGTCTGGGCTGGTTTGGACAAACATCGGGCCCTCTTATCAAATTGTGAATGATGATTAACTAAGGACCACGCGCAAGTTACGGAGAGAGAGTTGCACAACATATTACAAAGTATCGGCTGCACCAGATAAGTCCCATAGGAACCCTTTCTTCTCGCAAACCCCCAATTCTATCACTCAGAAAGTCCAAAAGGAAATTCGCAATCTTCTGCTGCGGTTGATGTTGCAGAAGAAAGAAAAGCCAGAAACAATAACAAGAAGAAGAGGAAAATGGTGAAGGTTGCGACTTACTTCGCGATGTCATTCGGAGCATTCTTGTTCTGGCAATCCATGGATAAGATCCACGTTTGGAATGCTCTTCGTCAAGACGAAAAGGTTTCCCCTTCTTTCTTTTTCTCTCAAGAAAGTATCCGATTTAGTTCTGTGAATTTCAAATGCATCCGTAATTTGAGCATTCTTATTTTGTTTTATTTTCTTCTTCCGGTTGATTAAACCCTAGGTGGATTTGCATGTGCGCCCTCAATTTCCTTTTATTTCAATTACTCTCAGAAAACTTATGCCTTTTTATTTCGAAATTTGGGTTAAAGCTTTTTTTTGGTTTGCATATTTGGAAGAACCAAAATGATGTGTTTCAGATGGGGATGGGGCAAGCTCTTATCAGAAATGAAGGCTACGTTTTTCTAAACTTTTGATGTATCTGGAAATAGTGAAGAAGCTCCCTTCATATAAAAAGCCGATATACCCTCCCATAAATTATTTAATTTGATTAATTCCATTTTTCAAAATTTTCATGCGCATTTCCTCTTGCCCAGCTAATATAACCGTTCTGCATTCCAACATGTAGAAGCAGAGGGAGGGTGTAATATGTCATTTATTTTTATATAACAATGAAATAATAATGACTTTAGAATAAAATTTGTCACGACCCGCCACCCAGCCACTACTTAGGCTGGCGGGTGAAGACGTACATAACATATTAACGTAATTAAATTATACGACTTTTCTAATCAGAGCCTTCCTCATATCAGATTCCTCGTAGTCAATTGGGGAAGGCTCTGTAGCGGCTCTCTACAAACATCTATATCCTAGCTAGCTTTTCTTCCCATACCTCACATGCAAGTCAATTTCTGAAAACTTTCATATGATGTGAAATTCTCCAAGCCCTGTTAGAAGAGCCTTCTCTTTTTAATATTAAATAGAAGTCGTGGACAATGGCATACCACAACGAAGTAGGACCTATAGACTGCCTCAGATATGCTCATGTTGGGTGGCTTCCTCTAGGGTTTAGCATGTCTCTCCCAAAAATCAATGCTAGCACTAATACCGAATGTTGCCATCAGGGTATCAGGGTGTTCCTAAAGGCTGCCCAAGTCAATAAGTCTAACTTGAGACTGAGATCCAGAGCATCATACCACATCAACAGATTTTCTTGCATGTAAAATACCGTTATCCCCACTTGCTGACCATTAGGTATACGAAGGAGGTCAAATATCCATGTCATTATCCTCACCCAATCTTTGGTGCTATTTGAGCCTGGTAGCAACATCAACAATAGTGGGTTTTTATCTGTCACAACTTGCATATAAAAGTTCCTCGCATCAGGTCCTAGTGGGATTTCAACATGCCCACTGCTAGGTTGCAAGTCGGTTTAGAGGGTCGTATTGCCACCAACTCACTAGACTCGATGCAAGAAACTTTTATATGCAAGTTGTGAGGGATAAAAACCCACCCTTATTGAAGTTGTTACCAGGCTCGAATAGCACGAGAGATTGGATTAGGATAATGACAGGGATATTTGACTTCCTTCATGTACCCGATGGCCTGTGAGTGAGGATAGCGGTGTTTTACATGTGAGAGAACCTGTTGATATGGTACGATACTTTGGATCCCTGTCTCAATTTAAACTTATTGATTTGAGCAGCCTTTAGGAACACCTTGGTGGCGACATCAATATTAGTGTGAGGATTAAATTTTGGGAGAGACATGCTAAATTCTAGAGGAAGCTACCCGACATGAACATATTTGAGGTAGTCCATAGGTTTTACTTTGTTGTGGTACGCCTTTGTTCACGACTTTTGTCTTATGAAAAGAGGAGACTCTTCTAGCACGGCCTGGAGGTCAAGAAAAAGCCCACAAGGAATTTCACATCATATGAAAGTTTGGAGAGGTTGACTTTTGCGTGCGTGAGGAAGAGCTAGCTACGGAACAGAATATCTGTAAAGAGTCTTCCCCAAGTGACTCTGATTAATCTGATCCGCCAATGGATTGGGAAGTTTCCGATTAGAAAAGTCTTATAATATGTATGTACCTCTTTCCGCAACCTGACCTGCAACCTGACCTACACTAGTGGCGGGTCGTGACAGGAATAAACATTGGTCTGTGGTAGATAAATATCCTGTTATATGTTTGTTAAGTCATATGTACACTATCGACTTCTATATTGTGTTTATGCTGCGTAGGACCGGTCCATCGCCAAGGACTTAGCCTTATATGCAATTCTTATATGCATTTTGCTGTTGTAGAGGGAGAGACAAGAGAAGGAAGCCGAGATTAAGAGAGTCAGGGAAGAACTGCTGCAGAAACAGAAAGATTTCGCGTAACCCACATTGCCTTTGGCCTTTCCTTTGAACTTCCTGTCGCTATTTTCTTCTCGAATTTTTATGTTTGAAGTGGATAGATTCTCTGCAAGCGTACTTGTCTTCTGTTCTATGCTGATGAGTATGATTGTCAGGAAGACGCCATCACATTCTTCTCTTATATAAAGTGCACCCTTGTTTGGGATGTTCAGTTAACTTTGTTTTTAATGTCACAAGTGCAATAATTCGCATCTCTTTGGGGTAAATAGAAGACATTTGGCATTTTTATTTTTTATTTTTTTTCCTTCACATATCAGTTCTATAGAGACTGGCCTTAACTTTGAGATGCTAGAGTGGGAGAAAATTCTGGTTTCAGATGCGAGATTCTGGGCTAGTTCGTTTACATTTTTTAAGTGAGGTGACTTGAGTTCAGATTTTGATTTGAGTTAAAGTGTATTTAAGTATGGTTTGAGTTAGGACTCTAATTTGAGTTTGTGTTTAGATGGGCACATTTTGAGTCATAGTTTGAATTGAAAATCTATTTAAGTTTGTATTTGGGTGGGTCAAAACTTAAATTTGTATTTGGATAGTATTTTAATAAAAATTCAATGGTGATGAAAAATTTTAATAGGATATATGGGTGGGGTTTTATTCGTCTATTCGTTGTGAACGTATAGATAAAAAATTATCTCAATTGAATTTAAAATAAAAAAGTTATAGCGTTTTTAAGAATAAAAAAACTATTATTCATTAACTTGAATTTGAATTTATGAACTTGACTTGAAAGGGGAAAGTTGAACTTAGATTTTAACTTTAAACTCAAGTTGAAATTTAAGTTTAAACTTAAATTTTATAAAAGAACATAAACTTAAATAAAATTGTAATTTGAGTTTATATTTTTTTTTGAGTTAAATTCTAAACGAACAACTCCTGTCTTTGTGATTTAAGTCAAAAGGTAATCACGGATTTTGGCAAAGAAATGAGTGTTAACATGTTGGAAACAGCTTGAATATGCCCTTGAAGATCAAAAGCAACACGACTAAAAATTACACCGCATTTTGTGTGTCTACTTGCCTGGGGTATGATATCTGTTTTCATGCTACAACTTTGGTCGACTTTTTACCGGAACCATTTTAAGATAATCTTAGGATTCTCCAAATAACGGTCTGTTCATTCAGTAACTACTCCCGCATGAATTTTCTATAAGGAGTTGTTAATAAAAACTGCCAATCCTCTTTGGAGGAGCATTAATTAATTTAGAAAGGAAAAATATAAAAATGAAGAAATGAATACTTAAACGGGTCGTTTGGTATGTTTTCAAAATAGTTTTATTTTCGGTATAAAAATGAAAATGAGATTGTTTTAAAAATCATTATGAAATCGATTTTAAAATTATGTTTAGTGATTTTAAGAGATTAGTTTGAGCATGATGAAAAAATAAAATCGTGTTTGGTTACATTTATGTTTGTTTTGAGTACATGTAATTAATAATCTTAATACTAATATATTAAGTAATTAATAATCTTAATACTAATATATTAAGTAATTAATAATTGATAATTATTTAGCAAATAAAAATTAATATATTAATAATATAATAATAATAGATAAATTATCATTAATGAGCACATTAGTAATTAAACTATATATCTAATAAATTAATATGTTATGTAATTAAAAATTAGTAATTATTAATTAATTATAAGTAATTACTCATATTTATTAGATTATAAGTAATTAATTAGTATATTAAGAAAAATAATTAGTGTATACATAATTTATCAATATTCTGTTTACTACTTAAATTATTAACTTTTAGTTACATAATTAGATAATTAGTTAATTAATTACTAATGTTTATTTAATAATCTATTACTTGATATATCACATAATTAATTTTTTATAATTATTCTTTTTATAATGATTAATTACTAATTATCAATTATTAATTATTATTGATTAGTATATTACATATTGATAATTATAATTTAATATTAATTATTAATTGAATAATTACTATTTATTTTTATTTACCAACTATTTACTAATTAATATATTATAATTAACATAATATATAATTGATATATTAATTATTTATTTAATAAACTATTATTACATGTTTTATTGTTAATATGTTATATAATTAATTTTTGGCAATTAATCTTTAACTAAATAATTAAATACTATATTATTTATTATTTTATTAATAAAATTAAAAACTTAATAATAATAAATTAATATTTAATTAATAATTAAGTAATTACTATCTATTTATTAGTTATTAAGTATATCTATTTATTAATTATTAATTAATATATAATATAATTAGTAATTAATAATTAATTATTTAATATAACTTTGTTGATAAGTATTAAAAAATGAAAACGGAAAAAGGAAAACAACTTTCAATCGTTTTCTACTTTCTTCACAAAAATCATTCTTATTATTTTTTGTTTTCGTTTTTGTTTTCAAAACTTTTATCAAACAAATGCGATTTGCAGACCGTTTTTATTTTTGTTTTTGTGCCTTAAAAGACGTGTGAAAATGTTTTCAAAAATAATTCCCAACGCACCCAATATGTTTTAACTTTTCTCCAATCTTCAGTTTTTTTTTTTCTTTCTTTTTTGTCTAGTAGTTTTCAGCAAGGAATTCCCAGTTTTCCAATTCTTCTCCGTGCTATTATCTATTGTGCACAATTTGTAATTTGGCTATCTAAAGGCCCGTTTAGTTCGCTGATTCGAGTTTTTAATTCGAGTTGAGATGTGACGTTATGTGAGAGTTTTTAACTGTAGCAAAAAAGTTAGATCTGACTGTTTCTGAGAACTTTTTACTGTAGCAAAACTCGAATCGACAAAATAAACAGGGCCGAGAATGGAACAAGAATTACCCTTTACGAATGGATTCTCCCTTGTGATACGTGAGATTCTGAGTTGTTTGGTTGAGGGATTCGTATCCCGATTCGAATCATGGTTCATGGTTCTCTACAGTGTTTTATTTCACAAAAAATCACGTAAATCGAAAAATAGTTCTAATCTTATTATTCTAATCTATGAACCAAACGTCTCCTTACTATTTCAACAGCAACGGTTAAAATGACCATCACAGCCATACATAAATCCACTGATTTAAAGAACAGTCTTAAAGGATCACACGCATTTCACTCCATTTCTTTTGATAAGTATGCTTCACTTCATTGAACCACCTCTACCTCTAGAAAAAGCTTTCGGTTCTAAACAAAAGACAGGGAAGTTTTAAGCAGTTTCTTTCCAAGGCTTGCAATAAATCGTGTTCTATAGTGCTTTAACAGCATTACTATTCGTCATCCCCATATGAATAAGTTAAAACAAATAAACGATGTTGGCATGCAACCTAAACAGATAAACCAAAGTTATACAAATCATCATAAATCTAAAAATAGATCCGAGTAGTGTCTAAAAAGAAAGCCAGCTTTTCCCCCCCACGTTGTCTGATTAAAGCTACAAAAGTTTTAAGACTAGATATCGAAGCAACCTATCTAAAACCGCTCACCATGTTTTTTCTATAAAAGCTTGCATATCTATAGAGCTACCGAATCAAACAGCTTCATTACCGATATTTCTCGAAACTCATTTTAGCCTCATAGTTTCCTTCATTTGTGGCATCTTGAAGCCATGGAATTGGGGAAGTTTTTCCTGGCTGCCCTTTCGCTAGTTCTGCTTCTCGGACTAGCTCAAAGCTTTGAATTCCATGAGGAAGACTTGGCTTCGGAGGAGCGCCTTTGGGACTTATATGAGAGATGGAGGAGCCAACACACGGTGTCCCGGGACCTGAAAGAGAAGCATCAGCGTTTCAATGTGTTCAAGGCAAATGCAAAGCATGTCCACAAGGTGAATCAGATGAACAAGCCTTACAAGTTGAGACTCAACAAGTTCGCAGACATGACCAACCATGAGTTCGTGAGGTCCTATGCTGGCTCAAAGGTCAGCCACTACAGGATGTTTCGTGGCGAGAAACCAGCCACCGACTTCTCTCATGGAAAGACCGAGGACCTTCCAACATCTGTGGACTGGAGAAAGAAAGGAGCAGTCACCGGAATCAAAGACCAAGGCAACTGTGGTAAGTCTCTTAGATCATCACCTATCTGTCCCTACTCAACAATTAAAATACATCGTTGTGCCCTTATTTTACGATAATTATCTCTAATTTTTTTTCATAATGTCTCAACTTCTCTCATGGAAAGACCGAGGACCTTCCAACATCTGTGGACTGGAGAAAGAAAGGAGCAGTCACCGGAATCAAAGACCAAGGCAACTGTGGTAAGTCTCTTAGATCATCACCTATCTGTCCCTACTCAACAATTAAAATACATCGTTGTGCCCTTATTTTACGATAATTATCTCTAATTTTTTTTCATAATGTCTCAAATTTAAAAAAAAAAAAAAAAAAAAAAAAAAAAAAAAAAAAAAAAATTTCTAGCTCTGTCACCGCCTAAACGGGACCACTAATGATTAACTCTTCAATCATATTTGATTTGTTTATTTGTATGGGCGTATGGGGGTCTTTATTCACTCTAGTACAAACGACTGATAAGCAGATAAATTCTTAGATGGATTTGATCAGAAATCTTTAGTTTAGCCGCATAAACATTGTGATAAGATAATTAGGAAGTAAATTTCATCTTTTTCTTCTTTTTTTTTTATAAAATTCTATAATTCACTGATGTCTTTGGTGTGTTATAGGTAGCTGCTGGGCATTTTCAGCTGTGGTAGCGGTAGAAGGTGTGAACCAAATCAAGACAAAGGAGCTAATGCCTTTGTCTGAACAAGAGTTGGTTGACTGCAACTCCAAAAACAACGGTTGTGATGGAGGGTTGATGCAAGACGCATTTGAGTTCATAAAGCAGCATGGTGGAATAACCACAGAGAAGAACTACCCCTATCAAGCCAGAGATGGCACTTGTGACTCATCTAGGGTAGAGAATATTAACCCACATCAATAATTAATTCAATCCCCCACTTTATTATGTGTCCAAATATATAAAGACTTATGAGCATAACTTCTCAACAAAAAGAAAAAATCCCTTTTTTCAGGTCACGAACGCTCCTTTGGTGGTCATTGATGGCTACGAAATGGTACCTGAAAATGACGAGAACGCTCTGATGAAAGCCGTGGCGAACCAACCTGTCTCCGTCTCCATAGACGCCGGTGGCAAAGATTTTCAGTTTTACTCAGAGGTAAGCATAGCTCAAAATATTACAACACCCTTAGATAGAAATGCGATAATACATGATTATAAGAATCTTATTACCTTCTATCACTTTCTGATTACGCTGATTACCATTCATCACTTAAAATAGTGACTATATATATATATAAAATTATATCATATTTATCTACTATTTTAGGGAGTGTATACGGGTAGCTGTGGAACGGAGCTAAACCATGGTGTGGCAATTGTGGGGTACGGAGCTACTCTAGATGGGACAAAATACTGGTTAGTTAAGAACTCTTGGGGAACAGAATGGGGAGAGAGAGGTTACCTTAGGATTCAACGTGGAGTGGAAGCAGAAGAAGGGCTGTGTGGTATAGCAATGGAGGCTTCTTATCCTGTTAAATCTTCAGCCAACCCGAAAATGGCCTCATCATCCAAGGATGAACTGTAACTCTATGAGTATATAATACATAATACATATGTATAGTTTACGAGAAATTTCATTTCAGTCAAAGTCAAAGTGTGGTCAGCTTCATGTTTCATTTGTAATAACAACGTACGTAAATCTTTCTCGCTTATCAGGTTAATGCTTAAGCGAGGACAGTTTGTACTTTGTACTAGTTTCATGTTTTGGTTTCGATGGAAACACAGAAAATAAAACGTTTGTAATTCGTTCTCGTTTTCAATAAAGGTCAATGCTTATTTAGGCTTAATATGTTTTCGAAAGGGTCATTTTTACCCATGTTCTAATATTTGTGCCCGGATAAGGTTGCTCTTATTCTTTTTCTTCCTTTGTAAAGAAATTTTTTGTGCTAAGGATCATAAATTCTTTAAGAAGTATAGATAGATCCTCTTACTTTATTTTATTTTAGTCTACTGCTACTTACTTTTGGCAATGTTGGTCTCTGATACAGAGTTCATGATACCTGTTTTTTATCTAATTTTTGTACAATTGTCGTAGCTGGATCAAATATTTATCAATAAATACGGTATTTACCGATAAATATAATATTTTAATTGTCGCCAAAGTCAGTAGCCGGATCTTCGGATAAATATGATATTTACTAGTAAATATGGTATTTTCAAGTAATTACAGTGTTAAATAATCGCCGGAGTCAGTGGTCAAATTTTCGGATAAGTATAACATTTTACTAGTAAATATCGTTTTTACTCGTAAATACAGTGTTCAACAGTTGTCAGAGTAAGTGGCTGAATTTTCATATAAATATAATATTTACTAGTGAATACGATATTTATTAGTAAATACAATATTCACCAGTAAGTACAGTGTTAAACAGTCGTCGGATTTGGTGCCTGAATTTTCAAATAAATATGATATTTACTAGTAATTACAATATTTATTGGTAAATACAGTGTTAAACGGTCGTTGGAGTCGGTGCCTGAATTTTTGAATAAATACGATATTTACTAGTAAATATGATATTTACCGATAAATACGATATTTACCGATAAATACGATATTTACCGGTAAATACAGTGTTAAACTGTCACCGGAGTCAGTGGCCGGATTTTTAGATCAGAGTCAGTGGCCAGATTTTTAGATAAATATGATATTTACTAGTAAATACATTATTTATTGGTAAATACGGTATTTACCCGTAAAAACAACGTTAAACAGGCCAGAGTCGGTGGTCGACTTTTCAGGTAAATACGGTATTTACCAGTAAATATAGTGTTAAATGGTCATCAGACAACAATCACTGATCACTGAAAAACAGTCACCCGTTACTGGAGTTGATCGCCGATTGTTGGAGCTGATCACAGAAGTCGTCTACCGGCCACCGGTCGCCGGAGCCAGCCGCCGATTCCAGCCATGGTGGACTTGACTATAATCTACCAATTTAAAAAAAAAAAAAAAAAAAAAAAAAGCTATAATTTACTATTTAAAAAAACATATGTTTATGGGGGAGGAATGAGGTGGAAAGGAATGTTTAAGGGTAATTTTGGGTTTTTAATCATGTTTTAAACTTAAAATACCAAATTATACTATAATTTACTATTTTAAAAATATATATGTTATAATTTACTAATCACTTTACCAATTATGTTATTTCCTTCTTTATCCCAGAAAGAAAAGAGCTAGGGCTTTTCTATGGACCCAACCATGTTAGGAAATTGTGTTGATGGGCCTTTTTTACCCAACTCTTTTCATAAATGATCAAATTTTTTTTTATTTTACGAAAATGACCGTTGTATTTACATGAGGAAATTGTCATTTTGTTTACATGAGTCAATCAATGATTGACTTAAAAACCATAGTCGATCAGTGATTGACTCAGGATCAATTATAATTGATCGATTGAATGTTAATTAATCAATAGTTTATCATTAACAACATGTAATTTGTTGTTTAAAATTGATTAATTACTAATTAATTTTAATTAATTATTAACTAATATTGATTAATAATAAAGAATAATCGAGTTAATCAATGACAAATCAAAGTCAATTATGATTGACCGTTAAGTCAATTAGTGATTAACTACTGAGTTAATCGATGATTGAACACTAAGTTAATAAAAACGGTCATTTTTATAATTTTGCAAAACTTCTGACTGTTTGTGCTGAAATCCCCACTATATTTTTGATATCCCTCCATGTATGTTCGGATTGCACTCATCTTTAGTTTATGCAAGAGAAAAACGACAAAGATGGATATAAATCTCTCCAGAACGCAAAACTGAAAACCTAGACTGCAAGAGAGAATTAGAGGAATACTCCTTTTAAAGATGGACACTAAAAATTTATGCCCTTTCTTAAATACTTCAAATTCATGACGTTTTTTCGCCCTTTAAATTCTAATTATCGACATAATTCTTACCAAAGGGCAGATGAAGATTAAGGGGGATATATTTCCTGAATTTTTGGGAAGTAATTGTTAATGGGTTTGGAGTAAAGCTCTGATCTTCGTTACCAACAGGGAATATTAAAGTTAACGAAGGAGGATCAAAACTTAAAAGTACCTTTTTTCTTAAACTTTTATTTAATGAATAAATCTAATGAAAAAGGTTATGGGATTATTAAAAAAATAAATAAAATAAAATAAAATAAACAAGACAACATAAATGAAGACAAGCAGCCGTAACAATTGGTGTTTCCAAAGTTGTCCCTTATCCAAGTTTATAACTTGTAACCCATTAAAATATGTTTCACACTTTTATGGGGCTCCTAAACTAAAGCAATTAAAATTAATAAGATTGTGTCCAAGTGGCCAACCGTGTGGCCTTGATCAGCTAAAAAGGGCTCACACACCCCCACGCCTGGCCACAGTTTCCATCGACCATGGTGGGCTGGCCAGGCTTAACCCCACACCCAAATCTTTGACCACTTCCTATACTTCCCACTCCAAAAGCCTAAACTACAAATTACAAGACCAAAAACCAAGTACCATTCTCGTATAATATATAGATTTAAACAAACTCGCCCTATAAAATAACGTACTAACAATTATTTCTATAAGAATATAAAATAACAATCATGTTATAAAGATTACAAATAAGAGAGATATCTATGGTATGATTTTAATAGAAACATATAAAAATAGAATTGTGCAGTCTGCGAAAAAAAAAAAAAGGCTTCTGGTGAGCACACTTTTTTTTTCTTTTTTTTTTTTTTCTAATTTGTAGGATGGAAAAGAGCAACAGTACACTTGGAGAACGAGAAAGTAATCTCGTTAGTGTAATCTTTTCTATAATGTTAATAGTTATGGGTCCTAATAGTGTGGTTCTCAGATAATATTGGTGTTGATTGATATTATTTATTAAGAAAGTTTATATCTCTGTCGGCTCTAATTCTGATTATAACCTCTAATTTATGTTCCCTTCAAAAAAAGGTAATATCTAATTTATGGCTAACAATAAGGTCTCCTTCACCATACTCCCTTCCTGACTCACCTATTAGGCACTAGCATTGACCAAATGACAAAAACTGGAATACCAAATGAATGGATGCCATGCAGGAGGAATATGTTAATGTTACTTTCTTAATGAAATAAAAAAGAGTTTGAAATACTTCTTAAATCTTACATTAAAGTTTAGAGTTTGAAATAAATAAAAAATTATATATAAGTATTTTTCTTCTTTGAAAAACATTAAAAAGAAAGTCTTTTTTTAATAGAACATGTCCTTAATTATCAATAATTGTTGTTGTTTTTAACTATTAAGTTATATTTTTAACGGTCTAATATATTATCATAATTATTATGTGTCACACATTATAAATTTTTATCGCGAATATTTTTTTTTTTTTTGTTGAATGAACACTTATAAATTAAACAGCTAAAATTTTATCCAACAGAAGATGGGAATAGAGGTTTGTCTTGCGTGATATTGGCCAAACACAGTGACTGTCAGCAAAGTTTGATGCCAACGATTTATAAGTTGGGGCAAAGGCTCAAAAGCAAAGCACCAACACACACACACACACAAAAAAACAAGAACGAAAAGAAGCCGGCAACACAACAAGGGCAAAACGAGTCACGGGGACGTGGGAGACATCAGGTGGTACACGTGTCAAAACCCCAGAACATCAGAGAAAGGGGACGAAAAAGAGAGTCTGACAAACAGAAAAGAGGATGAACTACAGAACATGGCATTAAACGGGGTCCGGATGAAGAAATAAGAATGGCGCATCACCATAAATCACTCAAATATATTTCTCCTTTACATCTCTATTAATTCTTCATCCAATAATTAAAAATACGCATTATTATATTTAAAGTACAAGTCTTTTACAGCAGCCCTAGACTACCAGTCTACTAAAACCTCTAACACACTAGTCCTAATGCATAAAGTACAAAAGATAATTACAAAGATATATTTAGCGCCCGTTCATTTTACTGATTTAAATTTATAATTTATATTAAAATATAATTTTATTTAAAAATTTTTTATTATAATAAAAAAATTAAATGTGATTATTTTTTAAAATTTTTTACTGTAATAAAATTTAAATTTTAAACTCGACAAAATAAATAGGATCTTAACGTACGAGAGTTGTTGTTTTACACTTTTAAGTTAGAGTTCTAACGTATTAATATTAATGATTTTGAGTTAAATTTAAATTATAAATTAAGTTAAAGTATAAAAAATATGCGAGCGTGTGAGAAGATAAAAGGGTAAGAAAAAACTTACGGCAGCAGCACCCGTGTTGGAAGGCGGAGTCCATTTATACATTTTACTGGTTAAAAATCTACGCGTTACTACTAGAAATATTATATTATACAAAAAAAATGAGAAATTTGTATAGTATAAGATTAATTTATATATACATATATACATATAGATATATCTATATAATATTTTAGTTAAAAAAAATTTATAATATATTATAGTTTTTATTTTCTTATTTTCTTTTGTTCTTCTTAACTGTAAAATATAAATTTAAAAAAAGTTAATAATAATAATTAAGGAATTTGAAATTTTTAATTGTATGCAATATAAATAAAAAAATTTAGAAATAGTTATATTATTTAGTCTTTAAGCGTTTGATGAGTGGATCCGTTACCTTATTTAATTTAAAACTGAAATGATAAAATATTATTAAAATATATATTTAAAATAATAAATAATTTTTATTGATAATTGATATAAATTAATAAATGTAAGAACAAATAAAGAAATAAAAAATGGATGATAAAAGTGTACTATAGGTCAGAAAAAGATTCAAAAGCTCCTGCGCATATGGAAACAAGAAGAAAGGAAAAAAAAGAGAGTAAATTCGACGATTCAAATTTAAGAGACAAAATTATAATATTTTACTGTAATATGCACAACAAATTATATCTATCCATTAGTGTGTATATATAATAATATTATGGGATTTATTTTTTATTAGTAAATAGAACTCAACACTATTGATGTTTTATAACAGTGTTGAATGATAATGATCGTTGATCATATTGGAGAGTGGAGTAGTAGATTTGGAAAGCATACACATGAAAGAGAGGAGAAAATAGGTAGATGAATTTGAAAGGATAAATCACACAATTTACAGGTATTAGAGAAAACGGTAGCTGCTCATCCCTGTGGCTACAATCCTGGCTGCCACCACTGCTCCTCTGCAACCCTATCCCATATAGATGTACGGACCAAGGTCAAATTGCCATCTCCACCGCCACTCATTCTGCCACGTCATCATCTTCTCCCTTCTCCTGATCACTGCTCTCTAGCCAGCGCTAAACTTAACTCACGACAAATGAATATGTATATTCATGGAAATAAATATTTACAAGGCTTAGATTAAATTTTTAACAATTAAGGCCCCGTTCATTTCGCTGATTCGAGTTTAGAATTTAAATTTTTCTACAGTAAAAAGTTCTCACAAACAATCACATCTAACTTTTTTATTACAGTAAAAAACTCTCACATAAAATCACATCTCAATTCGAATTAAAAACTCAAATCAGCGAACTGAACGGGTAAATAAGAGTAATTTTGTGTGACGTATTATTAAAATTTTAAAATAAATCTATACAGACTTAACTATTAAAAACGAATTTAAGACTTATTTGTTTCATATATTCTTCTTACCGGTGAATTAAAAATAATTATTTTTATAGATGGAATAAAATAGCATATTCCACTTAAAAATTCCTTAATTTCTAATTTGGTCCGAAGAATACAGGTTGTCTGAGTTTGTTGTCTATGATTGAAAATGACACAAAATTAATCTCCTGATCTTTTAATAAGGCCCAAGTACCACTAATGAAATGTGAGTTTTTAACGGTTATGATTAATTGGTAAGAGAAAATATAGGAGAGCAGTATTGATGTGGAGGTTACAAGCAACAGAGAATGCGACTAAGTGATAAGGGTTTCTATATATGATTGTTTCTAGTAAATATTATTCTATTTTTTATCACTAAATTAAAAATGTATTAACTTACAGGATTTCACAACTTAAAAACAATCAATAGAGAATTCGAAAAGAAAAAATTGGACACAAAAAGTCAGTATTAGAAACTTTGTCCTCTTCTGCTAAAAGACTTTTCGTTTTCTTGGGGCCCCACGTACATCCTCTCAGATAACCCCAGTTTTGTTGAAGCCACACAGACTCAGAGTCTCACGGTAAAACGTCCCATATATGGTTTGTTAAAAGATAATAGTTTTGGCCTCTTAAAGTTTCAACCAAAACAATAACAACAACAATAGTATTTTTAGTGCCTTATGCAAATAACAGTGAATTGCCACAGTAAAGTGACTCTAATGGAACTTAATAAAAACGATAACACATACATCGATGTATACTCTTATATATAGCTTCGATACAAGAGCCTTCGCCAAATAAAAATCCTTTTCAAAGGGTCACAGTTAGATCACATCCTTTTTGGTTGGGCGGAACCCCTTTTTTTTTTTTTTTAACCCTTTTTTTTTTTTTTTTGCTGAAATTTTCAAATACCTATTTTGATAGAAAGATTAGAATGATGTGTCTAATTCCCGATTCGAATTGAAATATAACTTTATGTTAAATTTTGTAATTATAATAAAAAAATTAAATATAATTATTTTTAAAAAATTTTTACTGAAATAAATAAATTAAAATCAGTGAAATAAGATAAAATAAATAAATTAAAATCGGTGAAATTAACACACCTAAGTTTAAAAAACAGACCGTGTAAGTTAAGAAGATGCATAAGAAAAAAACAAAAAATGAGAAAAACAAAGGGAAATGAGGAGACCTGACGCAAAGGAAAAAAGGCAAAATTGGAGCCAAAGAGAGCAAAAAGACGGACAGCAACGGGGGAAGCAAAGAGGGTTGTGCGAAAATGACAGGCTTAAGTATTGACAATAGTAGAAACGACACTGACGTACAATCACTGGTTTTTTTTTTTTTATCAGAACAAAGCGACCTGCCCACCATTGATATCGCCAATATATTGTGGCTTCTCTTTATCCGTTGGTTCTTCCCTTGCTCTCCCTTCTGTCCTTTTCTGAACGTTCAAATAAGAGCAGAACAGTAAAACTAGTAACGTTTTTTTTTTTTAATTAATTAATTTCTCCAAGTTTTTTTTTAACTGTATCCAACGTTTGCGACGTACAATGTCATTGTTATTAAATTGCCACGAAAAAAAAAAAAACATAATATAAGCAGGTAAAATAGAATTTGATGTGCACTGAAATAAGATCAACTTAATTAATTCTGGCTAACACAAACAAAAGAATAACAACACTTTAACACATAAAATGCAAAAAAAAAAAACATCATGAACAATAAGAGAGAGAAAGAAGAGAGATAGGAGAGAGAGTTAATATGGGAAGTGATGGTGGTCAGATCGATCAGCTATTAACCTGTGAGAATGATAGAGAGAGAAAGAAATAGAGCGGGAGAGAGAGAGAGGCCTTAGGCTGGTGATAATGAGATATGGGGGCTATTTAGCTATATATAGAGAGAGAGATACACAGGCTCGGAGCTCAACGACAAACCCCATTGGGTAGGATAGGTTTGCTAAGCCAGATATATGTACTGCTCATTATAATTAAGTACTATTATAATGAGTAGAGTGAGATTTGTTGTTGCCTTGTGGAAGTTGCTCACTTGATCATGACCACTTCTCTTCCTGTATTGATCGATGATCATGATCATGGTCATCATCATCATTATCATCCTCGTCGTTATCATCTTCTTCATTGTCATCACTTACAACGCCGCCGTTTAGACTGCTGCTGCCGCATCCAGAAGTACTGTTGTGGCGCCGCTGATCATGACAGTACACATCTTTAGCGTCATCTCCACCGTCCACCTCGTCATCGTGATCATGGTCATGATGATGATCAGAAGAAGAGACTGATCTTGGCGATGGGAGACCAATGGGAATGGAAAGCTTGTTTTGGCCACCAACGATGGAAAGCGGCTCCGTCAGTTGCCTCCCGTCTCGAGGCGGTGAGAAGACTACTGGCAAGTAATGGTCCATCTCGCATGGGAACTTCGAGTTCTTGAAGTGCTCTTTCAACGCTTCCAATCCCTTTAATTAATAATAAATTTACCAATATGTATTTATTCTAAAATAGGTTAAAAAATAAAAAGAAAAGAGAGAGAGAAATATTTGTCCTTTATAACACGAAAAGTGAAAAATAAAAATAACAATAAATATCATCATCATCATCATGATTATTATTACCTGAACTCTAGCGTAGGTAACTTCGCAGATCTTTCTGGAGTTGAATGCTTCCCAGAGTTGAAGATGAAACGCCTTGTAAAGCCTCCATGTCGCCTCCGGAGACGTCATGTTCACGAACCCATATCCCACATTGCATTTGTTGCTGTTTAATTTCACCATTATTTGTCGTCCCATAAGTTAACCAGGAATGTTCTAGTCCTAAAATAATGAATGGAAATGAATTTTTTTTAAGAAAAAAAAGGTGAGAAAATCACTTGAAATCAATGGGGAGGTAAACGAAATCGTAGGAAGAAAAGGGTTGGTCTTCTTCTCCGCCGCCGTTGGCAATCTGTTGGTTGCAGTTAATGCAGTGGTTGTCCAACATGTTCAACAACAGCTTTTGACTGAAAAATATCCAGAGGTTAAAACCAAAAAAAAAAAAAAAAAGATACATAAGTTCCAACAAAAATAACAATACTGTTAAGGAACCGAAATTATACAGAAAACTTCTCAGAATGTTTAAAAGGAAAGTATTGTACTAGGTCAAGAAGAAGAAGAAGAAGAAGACCAACCTGTACTTGTTTGGTATGTTCTTTATCATAACAGTCGTTCTGGTATCCCTACGACTGGATTCAGCCATGGCTTCCTCGCTTATTAGGAACCGCGAATCGAATTTCTTCCCATGTTTGCCCTTTCTCGACTTGACGTTCCTCAGCACTGGTTGCTGCTGTTGAGTCGCCGGAGGCGACGACGGCGAGGGTTGAGAGTTGATGATTTTCTTATGAAACCATTTCGGAGGAGCAACACGCGAATCCCTCTCTTCATTTCCATTACAAAACGAAGCAGCATTACCCAAATTCACAGAAGCCATTTTACGTTCAACAGACGACATAGAACTCGAACTAGAGCTTATAATCTTGTTCCCAGTCGATTTCCTGACGGGGAATTGGGCTGGTTGGGAAGCGTAAGAACGAGGCGGGATTTTAGTGAAGTTGTTGAAGTGCGAGCGGACGGAGAATTTCCGCGGCAACGGCGGCGGAATCGGCGGCGAGAGGTTCTTGTGAGCTGACGCGGTCGTGGCGTTGATGATCCTTCGGTAGTGACCGCCGGGACGGCTGAATTCGATGACGACAGGCTTGCCGTGAATTTCCTTTCCGTTCATCTCCTTAAGAGCCTTGGCCGCGTCTCTCACGTCGAAGAACTCGACGAACTTCTGGTGCTTCTTCGGTGGCGTTTCTCTCAGTTCCTTAATGTGACCTTATAAAATACAAACCAAATAACATGTGCAAAAATATTTGAGAATGGAAAGCGTGGGAAAAAGACCCATCAAAAAACATTGTTGTATTATGAGAAACACATGAATATATGACATATTGATATCATATCCCCAGTCCCCACCAAGAAAAAAGTTATAATTTCCCGACATATACACAACAAATTAACACACTAAAAACAACCTTACATGAAAAAATTTTACAACATACCAAACTGTTGAAAGATGTCTTTGAGAGTAGATGAGGTGACTTCGGGGTCTAAATTGAAAATCACGATGGTGCCTTGGTTGTGGCCATCGGGGACGGCGTTACTGGTCGGAATGACGAACTGGGCCCAGACGGCGCGTCCGGAGATGAGCCCACGCGCCGATGGGGGAGCCGGAGGCGGCGGCGGTGGGAGCACCCAATTGTCGGGCCCGGTAGAATTGTTCCGCATGATGAGGAGGGAATAATTGGAAGCGTAGTGGTCGCGGAGCCTGGTCTGGTGGTGCATGTGCTGCTCCCGAATCTCCCTGAGTGCGGTCTCTGCATGTCTAAGGTCGTAGAAATAGACGGTCACGATCCCATCCGTCGTCAGCCTCTCCATCTGGACCCCTCTCACTTCCCCGAACACCTCCAATTCCCTCCTCACCGACGTCTCGCTCGCCTCCCTAGGCACCAAGCTCAGCACCAACGCACGCGTCGCCGCCGCCGACGAAGGAGGCGTCAGCACCGCCGAGGGCGGCGCATGGAACTGCTGGGTGTGGGTGGTAGGGTAACCTACGGCGTCGCAAAACGGCATGACTTGTACTTCGCTTATCGAGGGGTAAGGAGACGCGTACGGATAGAAAACCTGCGGCGGCGGTGGCGGTGGGGGTAAGAGGACGAGTTGGTTTCCCGGGTTTCTTGGCCTGAACTCTTCGGCTCTTGGGTCTAGGTTTCCCGGGAGCCGGCCAATACCGGTTTCGGCCATGGCTTTTTCTAGATATATCGGAAAACCACTTGTTTTTCCGACGAGAAGTAACAGAAGTACTTCTTCTTCTTCTCCTTCGAGTTGCCCTTGCTGGGTATTAATTAGTTTTCTTTTTTTTGTTTTTCTTTTTTCTTTCTTTTCCGGCGCTGGTCAAATTCCATCCATCGCTTTATCTTCCCAAGTAATAGCAGTACATGTCTCTCTCTCTAGTCTCTCTCTCTGTGTGTCTACTCTGGAGCTGGAGTCAAGTAGAAAAAAAGAGCACAAATGGCTTTGGGTGTTTCCTCTTTTCCTCAAACTTTCATTTCAAGCAAAAGTTGCTACAAATGTCCTTTGCCATCTGATGGTAGCTCGAAATTACGGAATTGCCCCGAGATCCTTTGAGAATTGGTGGTGACGATGTGGGATTTGATTGGTGGGGTCGTCGAGGTGGGGCCCGGAATGAGAAAGGATCGGAACCGTACACGTGGCGGATTGGGCGGATGTAGGGTGATAGATGGGTAGCACAAAAGGGGCTTTTTGCCAAAACCGGACGGTAATAATTGCTCTGAGAGTCTGGTGGAAATGGTACTTTTTCATGTGTGTATTTTGACTACTCTCCATTGCTTTATTTGTGTGTGGTGTACCCTCTTATTAATTCTTTTGTCCGACTCCTCGGTTCTTCTCTCCTATATCTTGGTTTTTGTATTGTAAGACTCCGGTCCCAATTAATAAAAGGAAAACTAATAATAATAATAACAACACACACAGACGTGTTTCAACGTCCCTCCCAAAAACCATCTAAATCTTTGTTTTTTTTTTTTTTAAATAAATAAATAAATTGATATAAGATATTTTATGAAATATTTAATTCATGAAGTTTAAAATTACAATTTATAATTTTAATTTTTAAAATTTAAATTTTTTATAAAAAAAAACACTGTATAAAATTAAAAATTACAATTAAGAACCAAAGACACAAAACCTTAAAACAAATATCTCATTAATATTTTCCCATTGATTTTTATGTGTGTTATTTCTAGAGAAAGAAAGGATTAATTTAAACTCATCAGTAACTTGTAACAAATTTTAACAAAACATATACTATATTTCACACACACAAAAATGAGGCGCTGATGTGTTTAAACTTGGGCTAACTTCAGAAAAACAAGATGCAATAAATTTATTTAATTTAAAAGGAAATAGCAATCACACCTTTTAAACTTCACGTGATGATCAGCTTGAGTCAATATGCCCGAGGTCAAAACCCATGCGGTGCCTTTGTAGGTAGCTAAAATGCTATATAGGTTGATTTGTTCTCAAATTGGTGTCCAATCTTGGAATACAATCCCAACCTTTTTTTTTCATTTTTTTTTTTACATGAGGTGCTAAATGGTTAAATACAATTCATTATAAATGAAATAAATTATGGTGGAGTTAATTACTCAAAACCGCTCCTAAATCTTGTAATTACCTCTATTTCAATTAAATTAATTTCTGGTATGAGACTTCCTCTACCTATCTATTGTTGGTTATCTAATTCTATTGTTAAGTTTAGGAAAATACTTAGAACACTATGGGTTGTTTTTTTACATTTTTTAGTTACGGTGATTTGAGTGATGTTTTTGAGTTGAGTTTGAGTTATAACTTGAGTTGAAGTTATATAACATGAGTTTGTGTTTGGATGTGTACATTTAAGTTATGATTTAAATTGAGAATCTTTTTAAATTTGTGTTTGGGTTGGCTAAAACTTAAATTTGTATTCAGATAGTAATTTAATAAAACCTCAATGGTGATGAAAAATTTTAATATGGTATATGGGTGAATTTTTATTCGTATATTCGTTGTGAATGCATATAAAAAAAATCATCACAATCATAATTAAAACGAAAAAGTTATGGTATTTTTAAGAATATAAAAAATAATGTTCATTAACTTAAGTTTGAGTTTATGAACTCGAGTTGAAATGGAAACTTGAACTTGAGTTTATCCCAAAACTCGAGTTTAAACTCAAATTTTACAAAAAAAAACATAAACTTGAATAAAGTTTTAACTCGAGTTCAAACTTTTTATGAGTTTCGTTGCAAAAGAACAAACCCTCTGTATTTTGTCAAAATACTACTTACGTTATGCAAATGTTAAAAACACTCATTGTATTTATAAAAATATAACCAAAACACCCCTGAAGTAATTTAATTTTTATAAATATCATAATCACCCTTCACAATTAGTATGATTTTAAATAAAGATACTCATTCCAATATGCAAGAGTCTGGATTTAATATGATTTTATTTTCATATCGTTTTCTCTTGCCGAAAAAATGTAAAAACTTTCTCCAAAATGCCTATCTATTGATAGTATCAGTTTCCGACCGCTGAATCTGATCAAAATCATATTAGATTAATAAAATTATGCATAATAGACAATTTCTTATACAAATCTAACAGCTGAAAAATAAAAAACTATCGGTATTTCATTTCTTCTTATTCACTCATAGAAACTCCTAGAAAGATTTCTATTAAAAAAAAGTAATGTTTTATGCAAGCTTATTCATTGACTTAAATGTAATAAGTACAGTGCCAATTTACTTTTGAGACATTCTCTGGTAAGTCAGTCTACCTTAATTTTTAATCGTTATATATAATTAAAATCACATCAGATTAAAAAAATATACAGATTTAACAACTAAAAAATAATAAATTATCGATAATTTATTTTTTCCTAACACAAAAATTCTTTTTACCGTTTCACTTAAAACTCACAATTTTCCTTGTTAATTAAAACAATCCCAAACATTTGAGAGAGAAGCGTTGAGAAATAGCACTAATAATCTAATACGAATGCCCTAATAAAACCAGCGCACGTGCGCAGGAGTTTCTAGTGTTGAGGTCCAACATGGATGACTACTTCCAATGCCGTCACCAACTTGTTTTAAAATGTGTCTTTTTTTATTATTATTATTATTATTTTAATGTTCTCTTCGATACTTTGCATGTTATTGTCTCCGCTTCCACGTATTTTTATTGTCCTTTTTTTCTCTTTCCCCTACTACCATGTCCATATACTCCATATTCTTTTGTGTTTTCAAACTCAATTGATTTTCTTTTTTTGATACAAAACATATCAGAAAAGCGAGTACCCAACTCTTCATAGTCGGACTATAGTGCATGTTGAATATTACTATCCACAACTGCAGTTACTACGTGCGATTTAGCTTAGTTCTATGATCAAAAACACTGAATTTGAAAGTGTAAATATAGTTTTTAAGGAATATATTGTTGTATATTGTTCTCTTGTCTTGATTATAAAAACAGAAAGTGTTGTAGGGGATGACTTTTATTACATTTTCGGTTAAACTTTCAAGAGAATAAAAACTCACCTATGTAATTAACTTTATGCATAAGCGGATGATATATCATGACAACTCACTCAAATTAAGATTGTTTGAACTTTTGGGTTTGAATCACTTGGGTTTTGAATTTGGAGCTTGAATGAATATTTGGGTTTGAACCATGTATGATTTTAATTTGGGGTTCAAACCGGTCAAAACCAAGGATAGTTGTGGTTTTATTTTTTAAGGATTCAACATGATTAAAACATCACATTAGGGTTCAAATTTTAATATTTTCTTTTTAAACCAAATACTAATTTTATTGGAACTGTATTCAAACAATTTTTTATTTTTTGTAAACAAATAATGATTTAAACCTAAGTCACGGTTTAAACGTTAGAATCCTCAAACCAAACATGTCATAATTATTACAAATGGTAAGTAGTATTGATCATCTAAACTTTTAGGAAAATGACATTTCAGATACAATAAAATAGTACCAGTTGTTAACAACTAATCAGCATTATTGAACAAAACATCTATTTAATATATAATTAAGCAGGTTTTATCTTTTTTTTTTTTTGGGGGATTCAGTATAGATGGTATTTTTGTATACTCGATACCTATGCAAATAATATGACAAGTTCCTATAGTAGTTTTATGCTAAGTGGGAAAGCTGAACATTGAAACTTGCCACATGGGTAATTGTTTAATGGTTGGACTAAAACTGTGCTCCCCGTTTGCTCCACATAAGTCATGGGCCACTGTTCTCTCTCTCTCTCTCTCTCTCTCTCTCTCTCTCTCTCTCTCTCTCTCTCTCTCTCTCTCTCTCTCTATATATATATATATATATATACACACACACACACACACATATGTCATTATGATAAATGAAGACCTCCTTTTGTGCCCTAAAAAAGCAAGTGAAAGGGATGTTTTATGTTTGCTTTTAATTACATGGCCCACCTTATATTAAGGAGCTTACTTTGTTGGGTTCTCATAGAGGCAGACATTCTATATGTTTGATGCTCAATCCCATCCTAGCCCCTTTTTACACAATCTTTATTTTTTTTTATTTTTTTTTAGGAAACACAATCTTTTGTTGGTATGAAACAAAAAGAAAATTTGTTAATATGTAGACATATTTTATAAGATCAGGGAATAAGAGGACAATTATATTAACTTAAAACACCCTCAGAGGGCATTAATTTTTCCACGTCCAAATGTAGAAAGTGTAAATCACGTGCTCATAGTACAAATAATTGATTTGAGTATTTGCTTAATTAATCGAAGATGCATGAAGCCCCTTTCACTTCAACAATGCTACCTCGTTCATTTCACCGATTCGAGTTTTTAGTTTTAAATTTTTACAGTAAAAAGTTCTCAGAAAATGTCACATTAACTTTTTCTGCTACAGTGAAAAGCTCTCAGAAAATGTCACATCTCAGCTCGAATTGAAAATTCGAATCTGCGAAGACACTAGCACATCTTCAATTAATCATAAATTTACATGTCAATTATGGTAGTTTGACATGCGTATTAGTCTCTAACTACGGTAGTTGCCTAGTTGGTAATAACTGATAACTAGCAGAGTCTTACATCCATCTTTAACCGTTGGTTGGTTGATAATAATAAGTGTCATTATTCCTTTAAGTTGATCACCATCCCCATTTTGTAGGACGGTAGATATATATATATATATATATATATATATATATATATTGGCTAATGAAAAAGGTGGGATTATCAGTGTCATCCTCTTTCCACCTCTTTCGTCATCTTAAAAATCCCACAACATCAATTCTACATAAAATATAGACCTAGTTTTCATTCATGTCAGTTACACACCCGCCACACAACATATGAAGAGAGTGAAAAAAAAAATAAAAAAAAAATTATAATACCGCTCCACCAACTCATTAGTGGTTGTAAAAAGACGGAGTTGTACTTCTCATTTGTTTAACTCCCTTCACATTAATACTATGTTTGGTAGGAAGAAAAGAAAATAAGATAGAAATAAAATATGGAAGTGATGAAAAATAATAATGATAAAAAGGAAATTGATTTTCTTTTATGTTGTTTGGTATGAGAAGATGGAAAAAAAATGAACTTACCTTCACTTGTTTGGTATTGAAAGTTAAATTGAGAAAAAAGAAAAAATCTTACTTATAAATTACTTTTATACCCTTAAATTTTTTACTTGGATGTTGATAGAGAAAATGATAGTTTAGTAACTTTGCTCACTTTAATGAGTTGTTCTCATTTTCCATCCCATTTTCTGCCTACTTGTGGAAAGAAAAAAAAATGGTGGGGCCCACATATATTATTTTCCACTCCATTTTCTCTTTCTTTCTCTTTTCTCTCCTCCCAAACAACCTATATTTTCATTTTTCCTCCTAAAATTCATCCACCTTTTTCCTTTCTTCTACTTTTCTTTCCTACCGAACATACTCTAAAAGAAAAACTGTTTTTAACTTATATACTGTCATTATCATTAATGAAAAAGTGTGCAGTACTATGAGTAAACTTCAAAAAAAATGGATAGATACAAGAGCAACTTCAATTATGGGAGTCGTTTTGTATTTTTAATTGAAATAATTAATGATTTAGAGGTTGCTTTTTTTAAAATTTTTGAGTTAACGTAACTTGAGTGATTATTATGAGTTGAGTTTGAGTTATAATTTAAGTTAAAGTTATAATTTGAGTTTGTGTTTAGATGTGCCCATTTGAGTTATGATTCGAATTGAGAATCTTTTTTGAGTTTGTGTTTGGGTAGATCAAAACTTAAATTTATATTTAGTATTTTAATAAAAACTCAATGATGATGAAAAATTTTAATATGGTATATGAGTGAGAATTTATTCGTCTTTTTGTTGTGAATTTATAGAAAAATAATAATTTCAATCAGAATTAAAATAAAAAAGTTATGACATTTTTAAGAATAAGCAAAATATTGTTCATTAACTTAAGTTCGAGTTTATGAACTCGAATTCAAACTCAAATTTTACAAAAAAACATGAACTTAAATATTATAATTTGAGTTTAAATTTTTTCTGAGTTCAAACTTAAATTTTATAAAAAAATATTTTTTTTTTTTTTTACTTTTTTCTGCTACAATTATTAGGCATGATATAAAAGGCAGAAAACAACACATAAAATATGGGGAATTCGATTGGCTACGGTTGATTGAGATTTAGGCATGGGAATGGAATTTTGGGTGGAGAGACAGAAGGGTCCCGGGGACCGTCCAAATTCCAAAACCAGGAACTTTGCCTGCATAGCCTTTGCCAATTGCCACCACCACTATCTTCTGCTTCTTGTACTCCTTAAGCCTTTTCTATTATTTTATTCATTTTTCATTGTCTTAACTCTTAAACTAGTTCTTATCTTACAAAGCCAATAATAACCCTTATGATTTATATATTATTATTAACATTAATTATAAGCTCAAATCTCGGGGACTGTGTGCGCATTGCGGACCATGTCGTGTCCTCTCACTGTGGCGAATCGTTTTTGCCACTGCAGTCTGCCACCTATGTGTGTATATTTATATATAATGCTAATTGCTAATTATACAATATAACTTGTATTGGGACAAGAATTTCCCACCCATTTTCTTATTTGGGCAAGACATTCTAGGTATCTTTTTGTGGTCTACGATTATGTATGTATGTGTTTATCTTGGCAGGTAATCCCTTATTTATTTTTTTTATTATGTCAACTTACTATAATGTTTTATGTCCACCATTTTAAGTTTAATATTTTTAACATACTGTTAAATATTAATGTAATTTTTTGTCGACATTGATGTTTACTAAAAAAAAAAAAAAAATCAAGAGTCTCAGTTGTAAACTTGGTACGACCGTCTCAAATGCAATAACAATGCTACATTTGTTACTAAAAGAGTAAAAATGATGTATTTGTTGTGCTTCAACACATAATACTATTTCAAATGTTATATTTATATTTTTTGTTCAGGATTATTAAAATTTTCAATACTCATCCCGGGAATATTCTTATAATGACAGCTTCAGCAAACATAAATACATAGATACATGAAAGGCACAAGTTTTAACAGATCTGTTTTGGAAATATAACGACCAAGTAGTGTGAAAATGAGTACCACACGTTTGGTCTTTATTGTTAGATTTTTTTTCCCTCGTGTGAATTCTGAAGACCAATAGAACAACAAGAATCGAAGAAACATAAACGAAAAAGATCAAACACGCCAAAATTTTACTTGGTTCGGATCAAAGATCCTAATTCAAGACAGTGGTTTTTCCCCTAACTTAATTCACTATGAATAGAAGAACAAAATACATCCTCAAATTCTCACAAGATTACAAAGATTAAGAAGATGTTTGTTTTTTGTATTCATTCTTGATTTTTAATCATGATTCATAGTTTTTTACAGTATTTTTCTCTCACAAAAAACACACTTAAAATGAGAATGATTATGAATCATAATTCTAAATTTATGAACTAAACGTCCACTTAGGTTCTCAAATACAAGCTTCAAATATCTCAAGCTTTCCTAGAAAACCTCACAACTCTTTTTTTTTTTCTCTCACCTAAGAACTCAGTCTAAAACACAGATCGTACACGCTTAGAGTAGGTAATCCTCCATGATTTATTCTTCTAAGGACACCTATTTATACTAATACAACAAATAGGACTTTTAACATAACCAATTAGAGTTAGGCTTAATTACTATGTGGTTAAAATACTTAAGTTGGTTGCTAAACAATTAGGGTCTATTTAGTTCACTGATTCGAGTTTTTAATTTGGGTTGAGATGTGATTTTAACAAAAAAAGTTAAATGTGACTGTTTCTGAAAACTTTTTACTGTAATAAAACTCAAATTCTAAACTCGAATCGGCAAAATAAACAGGACCTTAGGCTACAGTCTTAACCATTTATAACTAACTTATTAAAATTAACAGCCAGATAGAGTCACATTATAACACCTCACTGTCTCTTTGGGTTTTTTCTCATCATCAAACTAATGGAATCGAAGCAAATTAGTGAAACGCTGCTAGTCTTGTCGAACAAAAATCCCAAAACCAATGCATATCGAATAGGAATATTATTCTTATCCAGGGGTATAGCTGTCCTTAACAGGGTAGGTATAGTAACATTATACAGAAGCGGGCTGAAAACGAGGATAAATATTAACCCCTGATTTGCCATCCATTATAAAAGAAAAAAAAATCCCAAAAACAAAGCAAGAAGATATAAAGAGAAAGGCAAGATAGTAACATACCAATTATGTGTAAGAGTTTTAAATTTCCATTTATGGTTTTTTTTTTCCTTCTTTTTTGAGTCAAAACAATAGCTCAAGTTGGCAAATGTTCTTGCCACTTGGTATGTGATCGATAGATGCAAGCGGTATAATGTGCAAGTTTGGAAAAAAATTTTCAAAAGTGGAATGGAAAAACAAAAGAGAGAGAGGGAGTTTTGGTGGATCACATCCGCGCAATTCTATGAGGTGCAACTGCAAGAAGGCCGTACATAGTCCCCGGAGTGGAGTTGTCAACTTTGCCAAAATGCCACTGCGTCACATCAGTTTCTTTTTTGACACTGCCATGCCATTTATCCCTGTTCCCCACCACCTCCATCAAATTTTAGGGCTGTCCATATGCCTATTCTATTCACACCAGCCTCTCTCCCCTCCCTCTGCCTCTATATAGCCTTCTGTTTCTTCAAATTTTTTTTTTTTTAATTTCATTTTCGATAGAACCAATGGAAAAGGGCCTTTTCTGCATTTGATAAAAGGTTTAAGAGTTGCACTATTAAAAGATTTTTCTTTTTTTGTTCATTTCACTAGTTTTTAATTAGTTAATGATAGAGGTAAGTTAAGACAGTTTAAACTCAACGACTTGAATGGAGATGTCGGACCGGCCCGGTTTATTATTTTCATCGTGCCGGCCTTAAAACATGACGGGTTTAAAGTCGGATTGGTCCAAAATTTATAAGGTATTCTAAGAAAAAATTAAAAAAAATTTGTTCCGAATAAGATTTCAAGACTTAAAACTTAGCCTTGATCCGTTATGCACTTAAGTAAGTCGGGATTAAGATTGAGCTAATAGTGTCAATCTTCGAGCCGACCCGTTTAGTTTGGTCTAAACTTGCAACTCCAATTAATGACTATTTTGGACTTTTATTATGGTGACTAGTTATTATCAGCAGTAATTGCTTAGAAATTTGACATGTAGGGCTCTAAATCATAATCAGCGGTCGTTTTGAAATGTGAAATTGTGATTATATAAAAGGATATGTCGTGTCATAACATTGTTCATTGATTCATAAATAAACTTGCCGTGTCACCAACATCTAATATTTTAGAATAAATGGGTGACCAATTATAACTGCTTATTACAAAGACAAAAACAGCAAAGACGTGCAAGTGTAATTGTCACAGAAACACCCTTTTCAGTTTTCACCCCAATTCAGATTTTGTGGAGAATAATAAGACGCCCAGATTAAATTACAAGTTTAATTTTAAGAGTTCTTTTCGACTGGGGTTCTTAACGATAGTGCATGCTTCTAAACATTAGACTTAATTAAAATCATATCAAAATAAAAAAAAATGTAAAAATACAGAACTTGATACATACATAACAGTAATAAGTTTTAGCCGGTACTTTCATTGGTGCATATGTGTTTTATCACTAATCTTTGAGCTTAGAGAAGTAGGATCTATATCTTTGTGCTAATCCAAACATTCCCAAAGTTCCTCCAGTGTGAAGCATTACCACCTTTGCATCTCCTTTAGTTTCCCTCTTACCAAGGACTGTTGCCATTTCCCAAGCAGAAAGTGTATACACGGGATCAACTAATATACCAGTTCTCTGTGCAATCTCGTGGCATGCCTCCACTTCCCCTTCCAAAACATTACCAAATCTGAGAAAGAATATATATATATATATATATATATATATATAGAGAGAGAGAGAGAGAGAGAGAGATCAGTGTAGTCCCACAAACTCAAACTGTAGGAATTGACAAAATCAGACAAAGGCAGAAACGATCTTCATTCCTGGTGTTAAGTTAAACAAGTTTGTCTACATTGCAAAGTTCACATGCGCAGTTATTGTAAAAGCCATTTAAGCTTCAAAAATGCCATGTAAAAGACAAGTGTAAAATGACCCATCAGTATAATCAGTTTATAGCGGGTCAAGTGGCTATTTTCTATGTCACTTCATTAGTCAAGAACTAATTGAAGTAGTTAACAATATTATGTTTTCTCACATGGGATTATTATTATGTCTTGGTCAAAAAGCCCACACTGAGGTTACAGCAATCAATAACTAAGTTCTATTAAGTGCTAGGCCAACGAGAATGTTATGAAATTGGAATATTGTTGACCATCTAGTTATGAAGATGATGAGAATAGACTCACTTTCGTGGACAGTGACGGTCTACCCAATGAACGACAGACTCGCTTGCGTCATTTAATCCGCTTTCCACAAAAGGAAAACCAAAGTGTCTCTTGAAATTGGAAATCAAGCGTGTCTCATGTTGTTGGTACTTATCAACTGTATCGGCCAGCATCACTGCAGTTATCTCCCATGGAAGCCTGAAAGGAAGCAACAAGAATAATTAGGTAGAAATTCAAATGTACTATTCTCCTATCAATTCAATAAATGTTAAATGCTATAAATTTCAAACTGGAACACACCCTAAACATATGGCCCCAAGTCCTAAACCAACAGCTGTTGTCCCAGTACCAGCATCTACAATAAGTTTCAAGCTCCTTTTCTTTCCAAATAAATGATCCTGTGATAAGTACTGCACCAGACGAATCACACCTGTGAAAGGAAAACCGTAAGCAATCATGAATAATCAGAAGTTAAGCTTATACGAGCATACGAGGCAATAGGAAACCGGAAGAAGCACCAAGCTCTGCAAAAATGATGATGAAAATCACAATACCACTACCAATTACCTAGTAATGCCACAACATCCCCTGCACCTTCGTTGACAATAGCTATGTTTCTTGAATGACCACTTCTACGAGCTTCTTGTTGCGCAAAATTTGAACCGAAATTATTTCGAATCGTAGAATCCTCCAAAATATCGTCAAACCACAGAACATGACCACTACTGCCAGCAACATAATCAGCATGGTTCTTGAGCATTTTTTTCCTGTCAGCATAAAGAGACCTTGGGATATAAGTGACTTTTCCATACATTGCTGAAATCAAGTTATAGCCCGTCTGAATTTCGGGCTGCTCCCCTCGTAGAAGCAAATGCGATTTTATTCCTCTCTCTGCACATGAAACAGCTGAAACATAGGCAAATGCAATCATTTAGACAAGGCCTTCACATGTTACTTGATAATATACTAAAAACTAAAGGAAAGATTCCACTAACTACATCAATGGATTACCAACCTACAGCTGCTGCATGTGCACTTTGACAACCTCCACATGTAACCTAGAAGAAATTGTGAGAGTTGGACGTTATTGATCAGTGCCTAAGATTGGAAAGAGCATTAGTTGACAAAGAATGTTGGAGATTCCATAAACACGGCTGAAGAGAAAGAAAAGGGAACAAGAGCAAGGCTTCTCACTAGACTGGATCTATCAGAAAAGAATCAAATTGTAATATAGTTACAAAGAATAGAATAGGTTTGGAAGCGCAGATATTAGCTTGAGCAGTACTAAAAAGCGGAGAATATTGAAGTATTACCTAGCCATCTCTTCCACAAAAAGGCTACTAAAGTGCGTTTCGTACTTATTCAATCTGCTATGTGATATATTCTTTATCCTAATTGTGCTCATAAGCGCATTAACGATAATGTCAGGACTCTAAAGCGGGAAAGTACGTTCAAATGGACATAGTATTAACCGAGTAAAAGGAGAGGGAAAAAAGGAAGGAAAAAGAAAACAGAGAAATCTAGAACCGACAACAAGACGTGCATTTCTGTCATCAAACTATCATGTCATGTTCAAACGAGTGCGAAAAAACTCACCACATCTGTCACAGAATGATCTTCAACAAGAGGAAGCAATGCATCGAGCTTTCTTGATTTATTGCCATTTACCAATGGATGCAACAAATCATCCCTCACAATATAAAAGGACGGTTCTTGATTGTCCTCCATCATTCTAGGACCAAGATTAGCATTATTCAATAGGGAAACATCATTGGACAGATAACCTCCAAGTGTTCCATAACCATTCTTTGCAGAAAGCAATATTTGCTGAATTTTGGCATCAGGGACTGGCAGTGTCCATCTTCTATCAAGCAATTTTGCCACGAACTCTTCACCACTGAATTTGACTTCTGCAACACCCTAAAATGAATGGGAAAGAAAGACAGAAAAGCTATTTCATAAACTTAAGCCATTGAATTCCACATGGATGTAATTTTATATAACTATGGGCGAAAAATGTGTACCAAAGCAAAGGATTTTCTCAACACATAAATACAACTGAAAAATTAGATAAGTACACTTTTTTTTTTTAATAAAAAAAAAAAAGCTTTTGTGTACAACTGTTTCTTGAGTACCATATAGAACATCCATTGATGGATTTACATTTTCATCTCAAAAGGAACCATATAATGGGATATTCATTCATATATGCTACAACAATTGAGCAAAAACCCATCTTTTGTCTCGTCATGAGAGAAAGAAATCAGCTTGTAAGTAAGAAAAATGACAAGTATATAGCCATGAATAAGATAACCTGCTGGGTATGAGGTAGTTCACCGGAATAAAGCGACCTTTTGGTGGCTGAAATGGCGGCTTTACTGGGAAAGCGTTGAACTTTCATACTCATTCAGTTCTTTTTTTTTTTTTTTTTTTTTTTTGGAAACTTCTTCAAATTATCTCAGTCGTCAACTCTACGAACAGAAGATAGTGGCAGTTCTCGCAGATAGGAAACGACAACTAGTAGAATGAGTTGATATAGGTTAGAGAAACAGAGTTTAGGACTTTGCGCACAAGAATAAGAATGTTCGCGAAGAATTCGTTGGGGGAGAAATTGAGGGAGAAGAGCAGCCATGGACAGAGCAGAATTGTGTCGGGTGAAAACTGGACCGAACAATATCGTCTGAACGATACCCATCGATTCGTAGGCATTAAACGACCGTTTTAACATGCTAACGACAGGTAGAAAGAAGTGTTAATCACACACAACTATACATCTAGTGCTAGAACTTTGGACGGGACGCCGCGACCGCCCGAAAAGCCTGAGTATTTGTCTGAGCCCAAACCCGACCCACCCGAGATTTCCAGGCCGCCCGCCCGAACCCGAATTTCACCTTGAACGAGCCGCGGGCTTGTATTCGGCGGCCCGAGCCTGCCCGAATTGCCCGAATTTTTTA